TCAGCATAAAGTATTTCAACAAGTTTCCTTTTCTTATACCTTAATCTATTGTGACGATGAATTTTGAATGGTGACCGGTTAGATGTCAGGAGTTCAGTAATACACATTTGATTAATGTTCATTCGTTTCAATGCATATTGCCAGCCACCATGATGTCGCTGAGTGTACCTTTTTGTATCACGTATAGCGAAAGGTTGTACACTTTTCATAAACGCGCCTGAATAGATTGTGCTCACAATAAACATAATGTTGTGCTGAAACAAACAACAAAACAGATGACTTGATGAAATATCTAGATCGGAGGAACAGGTCACCCAGATATTCAAGCAGGCCTCCTAATTTTTCGTTACCCACCACTGCTCATGGTCGTTCCTTAAACTTTTTCTTAACCTAGATCTTATTTATTTACGCTGTTCATCATGTACAGAACCTGATGGGACGAGTTTGTGATAATCCATCAGTGTGATAGACCTTGAAGAAATCCACTGGTTCTTTGTAACTCTGTGGTTTAAGTCACTAATAGATGTCACTGCTGTTTCCACAGCTGATTGTATACCTTTCCAAGCAACATCTGGGTCAGCCTCGTCTTCAGAACTACCTAAGAGTGACCTCAGTTGTTCCTGGAACTTACTTTTGGTTTTCTCGTTACTCAACTCAGTTCTAATGGGTCTTTTTAATGTGGCTTTTTTGCGTCCAGTGAGGCGCAAGCAGATGCGTGCCCGTATAATGGCATGGTCGGAGTCCAAGCAGGTACTCCAGAATGAGCGACAATTTTCTACCGACCCTCTCCAACGATGGCAATATGGTCTATTTGAATCCATCGTTGGTTTGGTGTAGGGGTCTCCATGTTAGACGATGTCTGTCCTTATGCTTAAAATTAATGTTTGCTAAAAATAAACGATCGTCTGAGCACAGTTGCAGCAGACGATCAACATTATCTGTTCGTTGTGCTGGAATACTAAAATACCCACCTAAATGCCTTTCTGTTTGGTTTAAATTACCTATCTGAGCATTAAAGTCACCTGCTACGAGTACTATGTCTGAGCGTTTAGCTTTCTGAAGAAGTTCAGAAAGCTTTCTGTAAAATTCATCTTTCACTTCATCCGAGCTGCAGTCGATGGGAGCGTAGGCAGAAACGACAAAAAGGCAGCGACGTGTGTCCCTATCCTTCCGAGTTCTCACGGAGCCGTTTAGCCGAACAGCACATAAACGACTGTCAACGAGGATCCACTCTAACAGTGCTTGTTCCACCCTTATGCTCAGTGCTATGTCCACACCTGCCAGTCCACGAGAACTGGCATGTCTCGGAGACACAGCATCAATGGCACGAAATTCTAGGGTTCTAGCCAAGGAGGCCTACTGACTGATTTGACATAGTGTGTGTACGTTGAAGGCTCCAATGTGTAGTTTGGAGCGAAGTTTCAATAGACCTGGGACAGTGTTGGTTATGGTAACACTTGAGGGGTAATCCGAAAAAGGAAGCTTAGAGGTGAATGTCGATGTAGGAAGAATAATAGGAAATGAAGAGGGAGGTTGATTATGAATACAGTGGTCTTAAATGCTGTTAGAGTCATGAGGGCGGTTATCACTTCCCGGTTGCCCACACCGTGGAAGGGTTGTTCTGGAGGTACCTGAAAAGGAAATCGGATTAGAAGTGATCTTAGTGACATGGGAGCGTGACCGCAGAGCCCAAGGGACAACTGCTTGAGGTCGGTCACACACGACCTTTTTATGGGCAATTTTCATGTTAGCTTCGTACTTGTTGAGAGCTTACCGCCGGAGACGGATATCCGGGGGATAAGGCGAGGTGTGTATTTTTAGGGTCGACCTTTTCTAACCCCACCCTTCCTTGTGGAAAACATCATCGCTGTCATGTTGGTTGTATGAAGGAAACACCTTACTGCTGTCACACCTCTGAACATTCAGTAGTACGATTTCTCCTTCGGATCTTTTGTTCGTTGCTTGTAGTCTCACCGCTCTTCAACCGACCTGTCTGATATGATAGAATTTTGAGAAAGGTTTGTTCCAGCCAGTATAGTTCAGTCGCTTCTTCACGACAGGCAAGCCCGACCTCCACATCAAGTTAGCAACAACTCAACTATTAGACATTACTATTCTTCGAAGAAAATCAAATTTTAATCATATTGATATCGAACAATAATTTGAATAGTTTGGAAAAATACCCTAACCGTTATATTGTATACAAGATACATTTTTTATTTTAAAAATGTAATGAATAAAATGTGATATCATTATTGATTTGAGTGAAAGTGTGAAGAAAAGAACTATGACAGAAACATTTTCTTCTCAACAAAAAAAAACAAAAAAGAACTATGTTTGTATTTCGTTCGTAACTAACAAGATTGAATTTATGTGAATATATGAATTTATATGCCTGATAATTGTACAATACAAAATTGTTTCTGAATCTCTGTTTATTTGCATCATTCCATGTTCTTAATGTATAAAATAAGTTTACAACATCAAAAAAATTAAATCCATCCACTGTGTATAGAATATGTTACTTTGATTATCTTTAGTGTTAATCCTATTCTATCATTCGGTTTTGTGACTTCCGAAGAATCTCAGCTTAAATCATGAGGCTTCATAATTCTTTTGAATAAAGATGCTTCAACTTGGAGAACACAGTTGAAATGGTTTAAATTGTTTATTCTGGTTAGTTTTTTTTAGCAAGGTTGTTTTCTGTGGGATGAGGTTGCTGAACAAATGTCCAACCTTCTTCTGTATGGGGTTGAAATTAGCAAAACCACTTCTGCTTCGCTCATTTAGTGTGATTAGGAATAACTGAAGATCTCGGGAGGAAGGCTATGTAATACAAACTAAAGTCTCGTATATTTCTAGAAGTCAAAAAATAGATAGTTCACGGAATTAAATTTAAATACGCTATAAATTCGTCTACGCGTTAGCGATTTCACTTGATCTATTCGAAAGACGTTGTTGCGTGTGGTGATCGTTTTAATTATTTCGGATTAACTGTCATTTGACTTGCCACACAACATATAACGTCCTATAGACTGCAGAAAAGCCAAATACCCTAGTACGGTCGAGTTTGCTCTCTCTCTCTTGAAATGCCTTTACATGGACACACATATACAGTCAGTCAGGGAAATCCTACTCACTACCTTTTCGTAATGGGGGTGTTGTTTACAAAATCGAGAGGATGAGAAGGGAATATCCGGCACTTCAACCGGGTAGGTGGGTCCATCTAAGGGAGTTGGAAAACCGTGATTCCAAATCAATGTTCCATATAGTCTTCAAGAAGGAATGAATGGTGTATGAACCTGTTAGTCACCGGCTACAACGGGACTGCACCTGCTAACACTGCCTTGTGGATTAGACCTTTAGTTCAAAGGTTTGAGGTATGTCCCTCTAAGAAAACCACCTGCTCCGGTTTGGGAGCCTGGACAAGTATCCCAGCCCTCACACAAATCGAATGACAAAATGTAAGGCATATATAGTTGATGCCTCTTTGGAATAATGTTTGTGTTTAAATAAATAAATTAAATAGAGACATCACTGTGAATAAACCGAGCACTGAGTGTTATATGATAATAAGCAAAGTTCGAGGTACAACAATGATTGACTTTCTTACTTGCATGATTATTAGTTCAGTTGAAGTAGCTTTTACGTTAAATGCATCAAAATTCGCTTAGATTTTTTTCGTCAAGGTGTTCTGTGTATGGCTGATTGTTTTCAACACGGAAATTCTATCTAAACATTTCAGATTTTAGATGTGAAATCAGCAAGCGAGTAGTGATGAGTTTGGTTATTTTTGTGAAATATTTTCGTTAAAGGTTGGTCATATATTTCGAAGAGAACACTTAGCTATTAGACAACTAGGTCGGGGTTCGACAATATACCAAATCTAACATCATTCAGTACCAAAAACAGTGACACGATCATTTAATCCTATTACTGACGACTGCATCAATCTCAAACTAGTTGAGTCCAACCGGTGATGACTTTACAACGAAGACTTACCAATTTATTTCAAAGTAAGCCAATGAGGTCAATAATTCACGAATATCGTCTACAAATTACACAAACCACAGCACTAAAGCATTTTGTAAAAAAAGATTATTGATCCTTCAATAAAATATGGAATATCTATCTATCTAATCAACGAGCGTGACTGTCTTCATTTCGAGGAACCGTTTTGTTTTGCTCAAACTGAATATATATGGAAATACAATCATAGACTGACTCGTGCGAATCATATATTTTCTAGGCAATTTCATCTCGTATTGTTTTATAAAACACTGAAATGAATAAGGATATATATTTCGCAACCGTCATTAGATAATACAAAGTGGAGTGTATCCACTGAAATAATTGAGTTTCAGCACGATTTAGCTATAAGCCTGTGGTAAACATAAGTTAGTTACAATTTTATGAAACACTTTTAATTCACTTTAGCTTTCGTAAACACATCAGTCATAATAACCATTGCAATGTCATCATATACAAAAATCCGTTCTTTTGGTCAGAATAAAAATGAAGCACTGTAGCCAAACTGGCCCGATTGACCTTGTTCTAGTATTTCTAGAAATTTACTTATATTCGATTATATATATCTTAGCGAAAGAAAGGATATAAAGAGAATCCCCCAACAGTATTTAACTAATTCTGTTGTATGACGAAGATGAAATGATTCGAGTGTTTTATTTCGTGCCTTAATTAATATCATCACTGTCAGTAGGATTTTGAAAGTCGTTCCATGTATAAATCACTTTTATATTTATCAATAAAATTAACACTCCGTTAACTGGTTCGCTTATGACTTCTATGAAATGATTTGACATTGTTTGATGACCAGTCAATATTTTGTACCGTATTCACAATTATTGTAATTCAGTTATTATCGACTAATGTAATTGTAAATTTGACAAGTTTATCATTTGTGTTGATAATATGAATAGTTAGTCAATATTGTTGCCAAAGTTGAAGAATTCATGACACAAAAAAGAAAACCTCTAATTCAACTTTAGCAAATTTGTATTTTTTAAAAAAACCCACCAATTCTATGGTAACAACAGTTGGGATATCCCATAAATTGTAAAAATTACAAAAAAACAAAAACAATATAATACATTTAGAGAAAATAAAAACAAGAAGAAAAAAGAAAGAAAAGAGAACAATTGACAAAAAATAAGATCATTGTAGTTTAAGTGCACGAATTTCATTTACGGCAAAATCACGTCTGTAAAATAGATTAAATAAGAAATAATAAAATAGAATTTATATATATATAGTAAACCTGAAAAAAGCTTATGGAAGAAATCAATAAAAAACTAACTTATACTGAAAGTGACCGATTCTTAAACTAGACATGTATAGGTTTCACGTATTCCATCACAAACTCCATCTGGAGTCCCTCCGGGGGCTACTACCGGTTTGAAGTTCGAATGAAAGAAAATTAACTCGCTAAAAAAACGCTAACCAGAAAAAATTATTCACATTATTCCATTATAAATGACTTTTATGTGATGTTAACGTACGTTAGAACAACAGAGTCAATATTGTTGTAGTTAAGCGTAAGGTCCTAAAAGCGAGTGGTAATTCGATGAAATAAGACTACCACATATGTTAATGCTTACTTTAGTCAATGCTTACGCCCATATCTAATAATGAACAGAATTGTAGCAGGTTAGAAGACGATTAAGAACCTCAAACCAAAAATTCTTATCAGTCAATGAAGTTACTATGTCATAGGTTAGAATTTTCATAATCCAAATGATGATGGGTCAATGGGCTAGAAAAGTATCTGACGAATACCCTGTTTGCTTTAAAAGACACAGATAGAAGACCACGTTGACTGATTAACCTACTTTTACCAATTCAACTATGTTAAATCAGCTTATCTAGTACAGAATAATCCCTTAAAATCAAAGAAATAAGAAGTTATCAAGCCTCTTAATATATATATAATTGAAACTAACCTTAGAGATAGAATACTTCTAACTTCATGTGCAGTAAGACGCCAATTAGAACTATTCCAATAATAATGTACTTCTTCAATCTGGAAAACCCCAAACACATTGAAAACAAAAGTATAACAAACAAAAATTGACTGATCTATTTCTTATAATTGAACTTCTAGGATAGCAGGAAATTAAACAACATTATCAATGCTGAGGAAAAAAAAGACTGTGATAAGTTTTTCCTCGTTAGATCACAATAGTTGAAGGAGCTAGAAAGGATTGCCCAGAACAGGGTTGGATGACAAATGCTGGTGAGCGGCCTATGTTCCTTCACGAGGAGTAACAGGCGTAAGTAAGTAAGTAAGTAAGTAAGTACCTGAGACTAATTTCGAAGCTTAAAAAATATACATTTCTTTAAATCATAATAAGTTTACTCAGAATATTCATTTATAATCTAAAATTCTTCTATAAATATTTATCCAATAATAATAATAATAATTAAAATCTTTAAACTGATGAGAAAAATAATGCTGAACTTACTCGATCCAAATTTAAAAGTCTACAAATTTGTAAACTACGCGTAAAATAATCACGCAATGAACTATAAGATATTGATGTTAAATAGGCAAATAAATTACGATATTCTTTTTCTAATTGAATAGCTCCAAACTATTTTGAAATAAAAAGTAAAGAAGAAAAGAAAAGAAAGATTCAGTATGAAAAAGAAAGAAGGAAAAAGAAAAAGGCATAAAACAAAATGGAATATTAAAATAGTAATATTCCATAATGACTACTTACTCTATTGAATGATTTCCTTTGAATAAATTGATCAAGTTGATGCAAAATTTCATTGATAAGAATTAATACAAATCGATCATTATTGTCAGTTGATAAAACAGACTATAAATAAGAATAGAAAACAAAAGAAACAAATAATAATAAGTAGCAGTTACTTATTATTGTATATTTTAATCAAAACATTTAATCATTACTATATAATAATCGTTCAGAAGCACATACAAATTATTTGAAGTCATGATCATTTATCAGGAAAACTACAACGAATTAGAAGACCAAACCAAAACGTGGCATCAGTCCACAACATCACTAACTTCTAGTCTTAACCATGTTCGTAGATGCACACTACTTGGTTTGGGTCCGCATGACTATCGTAATCAATGGTTGAAGACTCTTGGTGACATAGCTCAGAATCGATCACAATGGCGTCGGTGTATACACTCTTTGTCTTCCCAAAAACTATGAGATTAAAATCGCTTCATATCTTACTTTCTACCAACTAATTCTATCTTCCTGTACTATATCCTTATATGCAATCTTTTTTTTATATATTACCACCATTTAATTAATTACTTCTATGAAGTCGGTGTCCATCTTGTTGTGTTAATGAAGTATGGCAACTTGAACCAATGCATATATGTGCCTGGTTCTATGTTGTAGCTGACTGATTGACTAACTGACTAATTAGAAGATAATAGATATAAATTATAGGCAATAAAATAATAAGAACTATGTACACATACGTTTAAGTCAAATTTCTGTATTTCACATACAGATATACATCATTTTATACTAATAAAGTGAATAGTTGAGATAACTCTAAAATTATAAAATCAATAAAGATGATAGCTAAAGTGTACGGAACAAATTTGGTGAATAGGTCGCTCATGTCATGAGTACTAAAGATCTCATTCTTCAATCCATTTAGTATCATAGATGATCACTTTGATATAATAATAATAATAAAGTAGAACATAATAAGAGCACTAGTTAATGCTAATTTGATAAGCATATCTCTTTATGAAACAACAACACAACAAAATAATCTAGTTATGAAATTATAAATGCTGAATTTGAACAAAATCAAATAATTATCAAAATGAACAATTATGTAATCAATGTAAATGTTAATCAATTATAGAATTTAGTTAGAATTAGTTTTCCCAGAATTATTATTAAATCATTCTTGTGAAAAAACAATAGCAAATGAAATAAAAACGATTGATGTAAATTTGTGTATTAACTAAATTTTTTTTTAAAAAAGCAACTACAATATGAAACTTAAATACCCTAAATGGTTTGAGAAAATCTTCTATATGAGCTATACATGATTCAATCCATCGATCATTAGCAGCGAAAACATCTAAATCCTCCTGAAATAAAAGTAAAAATAAACCGACATAATCATATCATGAAAATCGTTTCACCAAATCAATATTGTTATCTTATCAATTATCAATTAAATAAGTAAGAAAATTCATAACATTAAGAATCTAATAAACGATCCCTATCAAAGTTAGTGTTATTATTATTATTATTATTATTATTATTATAAGAATGGTATATGTGACACGAGCTTATTGATCAGTCATCATGTCGTGAGTTGAAACTGTCCTTAGGTCAAGGTTACAAACTGATATACAAGGTGATGAAATTAGTATCAATACTTTCAGTACACAATTTATTATATTTATTTAATTATTTTAACACATAGATATTGATACAAGGAAGCACCCAATACATATACTCCAAACAAATCTCATTCCATATTTGTGAGGGCTGTGATACTGCCCGGGTGCCCAAACCGAAGCAGGTGGTTTTCTTAGGGTGCTACATCCCGAGCCTTCGACCTGAAGGTCAGATCCACAAGGAAGTAGAGCACCGTAAAGAGATGCAGTCCCATGGAAGCCGGTGACCAACAATTGGTTCATACGCCATTTGTTCCCACAGGATACTGGAACCCATGTGCACCATTGATTTTGTTTGGGATCCGGTTAAAGCACCGGACATTCGGTTTTTGTCCTCTCAATTTCGTAAACAACACTCGCGCCACGAGGAAGTGAGTAGGACTTCCCTGGTAGAGGCTATATACGCGTGGCCTCGCGAGAGCAGTTCGAGAGGGAGAGCGGACTCTCCCCACTCTCGGCCGTACCAGGGCATTTGGGGGCATGGATAACAATGGATAGTGGCTAGCAATGGTATTCAGGACGAGCGTTTCGTCATGTTCTGGACACATCAGCTGCATGTACCTCTACCGCAGAGTTGATGTTCACTCTAGAACTCAACCAAAGTAGTATATCAGACCGAACAATAAGTATATTATCAACGATAAGAAATTAGGTTGGTAGTAAAATATAAATCACGGGCAGGAATATTGCGTGATAAATTGGTAGGTACTTATAAGTAATATACTTGGAATGCCTACATAAATCTCACAGGCCTTCTCACTGGTACATAACCACAAGAACCTTATTCATATTCACTAAGTAAAGATCTGCATCTCTCTTCAACTTATAACCGTTAGCAATGTATCCGGTTATTGTAAAATCTCCATACAAATTAAGAAATTGAAGCTATTTTGATCATTAGTTCATATTCTCTTCTACATACAATTTCTTGCAACAAAGTAAACTTACAAACTGAAAAGAATTCATACAATTTTATTAGACGTGAACCAGGTTATCATCACTTATCACAGAAAAAATCCTTTGTAACTAGCTTAGGGACTAATGAATCTGTACAACAAAGATAGTGAATCAAGATTTGCAGGCAGAGAAATGAAAATATACAGTCGGTACTATTCTACTAGAAATTCTATGATAGTAGTTATACGTTGACTACGTAAGTAAAACCATTATTTCCCTTGGTAACTATAACCTATGTTCAAGATTAAAACATCAAAGTTATAAGACCTTTATAGTCTAACAACTTTTAAAACACTTGTAGAGTAGTAAAAAATAACATATGACGAAATATTCTACTAGCCAAAAAATTCCACACTATCACGAAGACGCTAGTTAACTGGTTAAGAAATTTGACTTTCAGCAATTAGGTTCCAATTCTGAGCCCTGCCTCAAAAAACTCGGTTTGGGCAACTAGGTCATATCACTAGCCCTCATTTGAATTATGGTTTGAAATCAAGTACCCGATAGTGAGTTCATGACGTTTGAACGTCTTAACAACTAATCCCAATTTAACAAACACTACATGCACTATATACAGTTATCTGATAATAGCCAATAAAGTTTAATAACCAAAACTTAGGCAAGCTAACTAAAAGTGTTGTTTTACGCAATGATGGATAGTGGCTAGCAGTGGAATCCGGGACGCGCGTTTCGTCCTATTTGGGACTCGTCAGCTGGATGTACCTGCATCTGAGTTGATGTTCACTCTGGGACTCGAATTCAGTACCATTCGCTTAAAACGCCATCGCGTTATTCAATGAGCTACTGATTGATCAATTGCAGTCTTAAACCTCAATGGGAAGATACAAGCCAAATAATACCAAGTGAAGTGTTATTTTACTTATGAAAGGGTAAAAATAAGCCGAAAAACAACATCTAGGTCAAGTCAATACAAACCACTGTAATCTGGAATGAAAAATCAAACTATGCATTAAGAAGAATAAATTTACTACATTGATAAAGGAAACTTTTATTTTTCGTCACTTGGAATGGAAGTATATAAGGGATAAATAGATCATGGTGATTGTAGAAGAAAATAGAACTAAATTATGCTTTATACTCTTACCTCAATTAAATCATATTTCAATGATTTGAAAACATTTAACAAAGTTTTTACTTGACTTTGAATAACACTAGTTGAAAGATACTCGAATGCAGAATCAAGTAATGCTTGAAGTTGATCTGAGATAGAAACTTTTAATTCCGTGATACACATCTTAAATTAGATGAGAAAAAAGAAAGAGAAAAACATGCAAAAATCAATCCGATAGAGACAACAAAGAAAATGAGAATTATAAGGAATGAAATATGATATTCAATCTGATGATATTAAATAGGAGTGAATGGAAGAGGGATCCAGGATATACTATTCTTTGATATTGTTCCAAATTAATTACTACAACTATTTGACATTCTTTGCAATTCAAAATTGCTTTGTGAACATTTTATCACTAGAGAAGGCGAGTAACTTAGGATTTCATATAGAAAGAAGTATGTGATTAAAAAGCTTTTTGGATATTGAAGATCATGTATACTACCAGTTTGGAATCATGATTTGATAACTCACCGTATCCAGTAAGTTAGTGCAACTCCGAAATGTTTATAATAAGCTCGTACTTCTTTGGGAACAGTTTCAATGGTCAGTGTAATAAGCAACGTAGAACATGACAAATATGTACATTGGTTCAAGTTTCTACACCACACCAGGACAGAAAGATGTTACAGTATTTTAATTCGTAACAGTATTGTTAGTAATAGAAAAAATTAGGCCAAGTGTGGATTCATGGGATAAAATATTACCAACGTAATTAGGAAACTTAAGACCTAATGGAAGACAAAGAGTGAATGTACTTGAGTTAATCAATGAGAACAATTCTGAACCATTTGACCGAGTCATTAACCACTGGTTAAAACAGTCACAAGGATCCCAATCACAAGACAAGCGCCAACTTAGAATCCTGAAGGGAAACAGGAAAGAGGAAGGCCAAAGAACATAATGCATAGAGAATTGGAAGCAGACATCAAAAGCACTAATAGTAACTGGAAACGATTGTCGAGGAAAGAGTTGGACGGAGAACGCTAGTAAGTGGCCTACTTATTATCAGATCCCACTAATAAATATAAACCTATAAGCTAAAGCACTATAATCTAGTCAATTTATTATTATTATTTATTTTAACACATAGATATTGGTACAAGGAAGCACCAAATACATATACGCCAAACAAATCTCATTCCATATGTGTGAGGGCTGTGATACTGCCCGGGTGCCCAAATCGAAACACGTGGTTTTCTTAGGGGGCCACATCCCGAGCCTTCGACCTGAGGGTCTGATCCACAAGGCAGTGTGGCATCGTAAGGAGATGCATTCCCATGGAAGCCGGTGACCAACAATTGGTTCATACGCCATTTGTTCCTTCAGGATACTGGAGTCCATGTGTGCCATTGGTTTGGAATCCGGTCAAAACGCCGGACATTCGCTTTTCGTCCTCTCAATTTCGTAAACAACACCCCCGACACGAGAAGGAAGTGAATAGGATTTCCCTGGCAGAGGCTATATACGCGTGGCCATGTGAGAGCATTTCGAGAGGGAGAGCGAACTCTCCCCACTCTCGGCTGTACCAGGGCATTTGGAAATGATTATTTATTGTTTCATTAAATGATAAAAATGGAAATATACATAGATACGTAGAAGCTATAAAAATTCTGTTAAAATATCACATCTAACCAAATGATTTAATAACAAGAATTGAAAACAAAATGTACATTATTAATAACATTTAAATTAATAAGAAAAAGTTAGAACATACATTAAGTTTCTGTGAATTAATTTCTTGATTTTGATAAAGTAAATTTAATTCATTTTCAAAATGATTAACAAGAGACAATAAATCTTTTTGAGATGCTTCAATACTATTAAGAGTAACTAGAAAATGATATCTTGTAAGCGCATTAGGTCCAATCATATTAAATGATGATACTGTTGAAACATTGGCAATAGATGAAGAAGAACTAAGTGAACCAGCTAAAATGAACAAATAGATGGGAGGAAAAAAAAGTAATTGTATAAGAAAAAATTAGACAATATGTTTATCATAGAAAATTCATTTGATTATAAATTTAAATTCATCATAAAATTGTAAGTGTCAATTTACTAAAACATTGACTAACTTGATTACTAATGACTTACAGCAATATAAGCAATACTCCTATTTGAAGTGTAATAATACAACAGGCTAAAAGATGGATGTCAGTCAGTCAGTAACAACGTAGAACTTCGTACGTACGTACATCAGTTCGAGTTGCCACACCACCTTAACACAGAGATGCAGTTGTCGATCCAAATCCCGTAGTGGTAGAGGTAATAAGAGTATAAGCAGTAATCGGAGAGATTAGTGTTTGGAGATGTTACTTAAAGAGTATAATACAGTGAAATAAACTTGGGAAGAGAAAAAAGAGACAAGAGGGAATCAGGAGATCAAAGTTTGGGAGAACACAAAGAGTGTATGCACCTGCTTCATTGCAAATGATTTTGAGCCATGTCATTCAGGGTCTCTAACCATCGGTTGCTATCATCTCGCGGTCCCCAACCAGGTAGTCTACACCTACCAACATAACTCAGTCCACTTGTCAGTGACTTCATGGACTTGTGCCATGTTTTTGGTCTGGTCGCCCCTAGCTTTCTTCCAACCTACTCCTATACCACTTAACATCACACGTCGAGGCAGTCGCTCGTTGGGCATACGTAACACGTGTCCATCTCAACTGATGAAGTTTAACCACTTCATCAATTGATTTGCCATCCTTACCTAGTACCCGTTTCCTAACAACTGTGTTACTAACTCGATGGTCCCATGATATACGAGCAATGTTTCGAAGACACCTATGATCGAATACTAGTAACCTACGAATATCCTCTACTCTTACCGGCCATGTTTCACTGCCATAAAGTAGGACGGGACGTACTTCTGCGCTGTGAAAAACTCTAAACTATCACGTATATCTCTACATTTTTTAGACATGTTTTTTTCAAGAAGAATTAGGAAACCTGAATATAAAATCAACTGCAGAAATATGGAGTAAAATATAAAAATAATAAATAACTATCATAGAGAAGTAGTTATTACCAACCTTTTACATTTGACATTTTAATCAGATTTATGAATGATCTACGCATTAAAGTAAGTGAGTCCAATACGAAATATGAAGGTTTTATAATACTTTTATAAAGTTCTCAGGTGTACAAATCCTTGATCTGTATCTCATTACTGATAACGGATCATGAAGACCACATACCAAAAGACACTGATTGATTTATTCTGAATATCAACAACAGTAAAATGTAAACATAACTAAAAAGAATATCGCAGTACTTGAAAAATGGTCTCTATCGTAACTTGGTGTTTGATTGGATACTGCTCTATAGTTTGAAGTAGTTCCTACTGAGTTTAAGGTGCAATGAGAACTTTAACAAACGGATGTAGACTAATCCAGTTGACGAGTCCCAGACCGGAAGAAACGTGTGTTGTGGATTCCACCATTAATCAAACAAAGACACAATTCCCGTAATTCGGTAACGCTGTAGTAAAATGTTTGAGAATGAATACATATAAAGTACTCGCTCATATGTTGGTATTTGGCAGAGATAAATTGGACTTGTTGTATATAAAGAGGCAAATAACCAGAACTTCCTATGAAATCAATTTTTTGTAAGAAGTGTTATATGGGACTCCTAAAAGCTTAGCAGAGGAATCTAGCTTACCCACAGCAACACTATTCTGAACATAACTGTATGCATCTTGTACCCAACCCGAAGGAAACCCTGTACGAATAACGTTGCCCAGAAAATCATTTACCATAAGATCAATTAGCATTGAACAACTATGATTCACCATAGCACAAATAGTATCCACATTACCAGATGAAAGAGATCGACTATTAAAAGGGAAAAAATAATTTCATTATGACTGAAGTTGGTGTTTTTACAATAAATATTTAATCATTGACTAGTATCTGAATATACCATACATATAATTACTTTTAAGATTGGAAGTTTCAAAACAATGTATTTTTATAGTAGAAATAAATAAACTTGGTTCCTCAGCCAAAAGGTCACCACCATCCTTAAAAAGAGCCGGAGGTAATTGACCTGGGCGTGGCGACTCGTAGGGCTCCAGGAGTTGAAGTTCCTTGAGGAATTCCACCTCGTTAGGTGGATCAGTCGTCTAACCAATGTCGTCGGGGAAGTTCGTATAAACCGATTACTTAAGAGATGATCTTATACTAAACAGGTAAACCCCTGATGGATACTACAGTAAATGGAATCTGGTCGCAAAATCAAATCAATCGGATAACAATAACGATGTTAACAATCATTAGCACTTAAAATTTGACCACTGAGATACAATAATATAAAGAAGTAGTAGCCCATCATAATATAAGAGGAACTATCAATTAATTATTTAATGGTTAGTAATGAACGATCATATATTTCAACATGATTTTGTTGGAGTGATCCAGGAAATTTCTTGTAAAAGACAAACAAGGATCAGGAAACACTGAGAAGCGTTTCATCCAATCGGCGTTCACTTGAAGTTTTAGCCAAAAATATCAAGGAAGTGGAACATCAAATGTAGAGGTTGTGATTGGTTGTCTGATATACTGCTTTCCAGAATCTTCGAGCAACTCAAGGACATTCAAAATTTTTATAAAAACCCTATAATTTCTGTGTTAAAATGAACCTTGTAGTAAAGTACTTCTCGCATACTTTGCGTCTTCTCCCTCGTTGTTCAGGTTGCTGCATAGTTCTAGCTTGGGGGTTACAGAATAGCTTAGGGGACGAATACAGCGTTCAATTCGCAAGACTTATCAGATTTTATGAAAATCTCTTAAAATGGTTAAGGCTGGCAGACAAAATGTTTCGTCTTACGTCAGATTTCCAATAAATTTCTAATTTGATCCTTTCATAAAACTGATAGGAATCGTATGACACTCGGTAGTGTATACAGTGACAGGATAAATAACTGAAGGATGGCGAATGTCAATGTGATTGATCTTCAGAATCCACAGTTCACAAAACAATACACCATATATAAGAAAGCTACAATACTATGGGTACTTGATTGAATGAATGGCCACATTTATACTTCGTAATCATTCCCGTCAATTAAGAAAACTGAATTTCCTGAAAACATGAAATACACTACTAAGACCTTGACGCTTAGAGAAAATCATCAGAACTGGATCATTACAGATATGTTACCTTACTAAATTGAAGTTAATACATTTCACAACGAAAAAATTGTAACTTACACAAGACTTTTCTTAGTGATGAAAAACACATCGTCAATAAAACACCATGTATTACTAGATGAGTCCACTTCATCTGAACTTAATGCCTTGCAAAACAAATAATCGAAAAAATCCAGATTAGAAATGATGTTCATCTATTTAGGGTGAAACTAACGACCCAGTGAAGAAATCACGAGTTCGAACTGTTAGTGAAGGTGTTAAATAACAACTACAATATTTTTATCCCTAGATTGAGCAGAATAATGTAATATTAAGGCATCTAACAATATTCTAGTCAACATTAGCAGAAACTTTACAATAAAGTTAACGATTATGCATTTAAGTAGTTTAAGATTGATTACTATTCCTAAGTATGTTATCGCCATCTGAACAAATCCAAGTATATCAAAAGAAAATTATCTATTTCATTTGATCAAATGTAGTTATTGTTGCTGCTGCAAAAGCAAAAGTGATTTGCAGGCTATCAAGAACGATGAATTGAAATATTAGTGGTAAAATCCTCTATTCAGTCTACATATGCGCAAGAACCGAATTGTAAAGTTCGATATCCTCAACGACTCAACAAAGTCAGGTTTAGAAACAAAACATATTTTAATTCATAGAGAGTAAGTTGTAAAGAAATATTCTTTCCGTAGAATCCATATATAGTTATACACCGTTATTAGAGCTGTTGTTAAATACCGAAGTGGAGATGTTTAGTTAACTAAAGTAATGAGTGACAAAGGTTTATATAGTTCCAAGGTGGGAAAGCTACTAAACGATTATAGATGAATTCAATAAAAACATACAAAATATAGTCATTTATCCATAAACACTTACAATAGATATCGTATAACGAAGAAAACAACTCACCTTTATCATTGTCACATAAAGATAATATTGTTCTAAATTAAGATATTTATTGAGTAAATCTTGTACTTGACGAACAAGATGTGAATTTTCAAAAAACTTTGAAATTTCAGTACTTTTTTCTTTTAAAAAAAAGAGAAAAGAGGATTGATTTATTTTTAGTATTTTAATCTAAATTAATAAAACTATAGATGATAGTAAATTAAATCCATTCTGATAATCATCATCTGTTCACTAGTGGTGACTAACTTCAAGAGATACTCCTGAAGTTCTAGTGAGAAGTCGTTACCAGTAGAGTTTAACCAGGTCTGTTGTGAGAAATTAACTCACTGAAGACAATGGTGTACGGTGGCGCAACTTCGTAGATTGGTAGAAATTAGACATTAACATTGTTGGATGTCGGCTTAGTGGTCTAGTTGGTTAAGCGCCTGGTGCGAGACTGATAGGTCCTGGGTTCAAATCTCGCGGGGTGCGGGATCGGGGATGCACACTTCTGAGGAGTCATATACTAGGACGAGACGGCTGTCGAGTGCTTCCAGATTTTCCATAGTGGTCCAGCTTCAGTTGACTCATGATTTCAATCAGTAAAAAAACACATTTACATCCATATAGTAAGTTTCAACGACGTAATACACTAAGATCACAACAACTTGTGTGGATATACATTTTTTTCAAGGTCTTATATTAACATTGAAGATTAAATACGCAGACAATATGAAAACTAATTGAAAGATTTTAAATGGATAGATGGAGATGGAGATGATTATACACATAATTCAACGAGATGAGAAATTACAAAAATTGATTTAGTACAATTCAGTAACAATGTACAAGTTCATAGAGTATTATTCAGCTAATAAAATAACCCCTTAGTTTTACAAACCTCTATAAGAGAAAAAAATGACCTACAACTAACTGATTAAAAGTCAAGTTCGTAAACTACATTATAAATAACAAGAAAATTTCCTCATCACTTATGCAATTTGAAGAATTACAGAAAGTATAGCATAAATAGTAATAAATATTTATTTATTTGAACACATAAGTATTGGTACAACGGTGAACCAAATATATTTATGCGCCATACAAAACAATGAAAATGGGAAGAGAAAAAAAAAGCTCAGTTCGATACTTAGTTGCAACAGAAGTTGGAACCAACTTGCTAACATCAATCCGTTGGTGGAGGTCACTTCGTTGGCCACTGAAAAGCAAGGTGAGATTGACGCAGACCAAGGCATGATCAGAGTCCACATAGGTACTCCAAAAGGAGCGGCAGTCTTGTACACAACAACGCCAGCGGTAGCTGATAGCGATGTGATCAATCTGAGTCCAGGCTTGAGATGCAGAGGGAGGACGCCAGGTGGCACATTGGCGACGACTGTGCCCGAAAGTTAGTGCTAGTCAGAAACAGGTCGTGGTCTGTGCACAGTTGCAGTAGACGATCCCCGTTATCTGTCCTGCAATCAACAAGTCCCCATCGGCCACCTAAACGATTCTCTTCTGTGCCTAGACGCCCGACCTGAGCATTCAAGTTTCCAGCTAGCACTACAATATCTGTCGAACGCACTTTCTGGAGAATAACACTTAACTGGTGGTAAAACTCATCCTTGATTGCATCCGGGCTGCAATCTGTCGGGGCATAAACAAAGATGACGAAAAGACATCGTTTCTCACCCCGATTTCTTCTCACTTTGATGGAACTTTCTAATCTAACAGCACATAACCAACCGAATATTAATGGGTATCCAGTCGATTAGTGCTGCCACAGTTCTAGCGCTCGGTGAGACACCAACGCCAGCAAGACCAGACGAAGTTGCCACAGGGTCCCCAGATAAAAGCAAGCAAAACAAGCTTTTTGAAGCGACAGATGGAGAGCGAGTTTGTAGTACTTCACCAGAGTTTTGAATACGGGTCTCGGATAGAAAACAAACATCGATATTAAGACTTTCTAAAGACATAGCCAGCCCTATCTGTTGTCCGACCTGCATAAGTGTGCGGACGTTGAAGGCAGCCAGTTTGAATGGTGCACGTGGTTTCAAAAGCACTGCTTCAGTATTCGTATTTGGTGGTAGCATACAATTTTCAACCAGGCAGTGACTTGAGGTCGTTTAGATAGAATCGAGTTTCCACCATGGGCGAGCTGCTGTATAAGTCGAAAAATAAGGATACGTAAAGTAGGAATAAAAGAGAGTGAGTAAATGACGTAGTAAATAATTAATAATAATAATAATAATAATAATAATAATAATAATAATAATAATAATAATAATAATGTGAAATGTTTGACTGTTAATCGAAGCGTGAATAGAATTCTCAGTAAATATCGTCATTTTCATTTTGTGTGTGTGGGCTGAGATACTGCCCGGGTGCCCAGACCGAAACAGGTGGTTTTCTTGAGGGGCCACACCCCGAGCCTTTGACCTAAAAGTCTAACCCACAAGGCAGTGTGGCATCGTGAGGAGATGCAGTCCCATGGTGGCCAGTGATCAGCGATTGGTTCATACGCCATTTATTCCCTCAGGATACTAGAGCCTATGTGCATCATTGGTTTGGGATCCGGCTATAGCGCCGGACATTCGCTTTTCGTCCTCTCAATTTCATAAACAACACCTTCGTCACGAGGTAGTGAGTAGGACTGCCCTGTCAGAGGATGTACACGCGTGGCCGTGTGAGAGCATTTCGAGAGGAAGGGCGGGCCCACCCCACTCTCGGCCATACCAGGGCATTTGGGGGAAGTAATAAATAAATATACACTTGTAATCGATAAATTATAAAGATACAGTATCAAATGTTAATTACTATGCTGTAACATTACAAAAGAGCGAACCATTCTACGTACTTTTAAAATCATTTTCTGCAAGATTGCACTGTTTGATATCAGCCTACAGAACAAGAAAAAAAGACATCATAACGACTTCACATATTTACATATACATAGTCTGTGATTACATAAATAATAAATATCTTTATGTTTTTTACTATGAGTAAAAGATAGAGCATTCTTCAATAAATATGTGAAACCTATAATTAAAGATTACTAAGTTTCTTTTCTAAAACTGTTTAGAACGACCTCTCTGGAACTACTAATCATATATTTCGCATATTCCAAATTAGTTATTTATAATTTAAATGAAAATAATAAGTAGATTCAGAACATGTATTCATTTTGTATGTTATTTCATCAGCAATTACTGATATTTATTAATTTCGAAATATTTTATTTATTAGTGTACTGTCAGTCAGTCATCTACAACATAGGAACAGACACATATGTGCATCGATCCAAGTTGCCATACTACATTAGCACAACAAGATGAACACCGACTTCATAGAAGTAGTTAATTAAATGGTAGTAATATATAAAAGAAAGATTGTATATAAGGACATAGTACAGGAAGAAAGAATTAGTTCGTAAAAAGGAAGATATATATAGCAATTTTAATCTCAGTTTAAGGGAGGATAGAGTATATACACCTACACCATTGTGATCGATTCTGAGCCATGTCACACAGTCTTCAACCATTGGTTACGATAGTCACTCGAACCCCAACCAAGTAGTCTGCATCTACCGACATGGCTAAGACTAGAAGTTAGTGACGTTGTGGACTGATGTCACGTTTTGGTTTGGCCGCCCCTAACTTTCTTCCAACCATCCCCAACACTAGTCAGCATTGCGCGTCGTGGTAATCGGTGTTCAGGTATACGTAATACGTGACTCAATCATCTCAGATTCACAACCTCATCAACTGATTTACCACCATCGTTCCCTAATACCCTGCGTCATTTATTTAATCTGATTAAATGGCTTGCATTAAGTCACGAGACGTCGTCAGAAATACATTTTTCCTACTCACTGAGATATAACAAAAAAATATTTATTAATAATTGTTTACATTTATCTACATTTTATGTACAATATGTTTACACGAATGTATGCACAATGTTTTAAAGTTATTATTATTATTATTTGAACACATAGATATTGGTAAAAGGAAGCACCAAATTGATATGCGCCAAACAAATCTCATTCGATATGTGTAAGGGCTGTGATAATGCCCGGGTTCCCAAATCGAAACACGTGGTTTTCTTAGGGGGCCATATCCCGAGCCTTCGACATGAAGGTCAGATCCACAAGGCAGTGGAGCACCGTAAGGAGATGCAGTCTCATGGAAGCCGGTGACCAACAACTGGTTTATACGCCATTTGTTCCTTCAGGATACTGGAGCCCATGTGCACCATTGGTTTTGATTCAGGGTTTTCCAACTCCCCTAGGTGGACTCTCTATGTCCACCAACCCGGTCAAAGCGCCGGACATTCGCTTTTCGTCCTCTCAATTTCGTAAACAACACCCTGTTGTGACTTTAAACTTCGGTCGATTTTTACCCTGTGCTAATTGTTGTGTCCTTGACTGAAAAATTAGAGAGTAGCGTATTTATCGGTCGATTCAATGACACGTAAACACGCACGAACGTAATGGACGACCTAGAGTTCCGATTGGTCCCGCTTCCCTGTCTATCCCAGCCAGTTGAGTCCAGAACACAAATCTCAGCATCTGAGTTATGAATCGTTATATTTCAAACACACTCTGTTTATATACCAATCAAGCAAACCACATCGTACCATAAAATAAAAAACAACTTTTTGTACAATATTCAACAAGTGAACATATATCAACCAATAGGAAATGTCCATTTAAAGTCCAAGGACACCATTGGACTTAACATGATAATTATTGGTCTATTCCTCCGCATTCACAACACACCCCCGCCACGAGAAGGCAATGAGTAGGACTTCCCTGACAGAGGCCATATACGTGTGGCGATGTGAGAGCATTTTGAGAAGGAGAACGGACTCTCCCCACTCTCGGCCGTACCAGGGTATTTGGGGGCAATGTTTTAAAGAATTAAACTCAGAATGACAATATTAACTTGTTTTTTTGGGAACAGATTAATACAATGAATCTAAGCATAGTTTAAAGTAATTTCTAAATAAACATTATTTAATTGAAACTTCTCAATTTCAATTTAATTAAAAACTGATCTTATAAATTTCTTTCTTAACATTGTGAATGTTATTATTGATTATTCATAGGTATAAAACATAACTTACAGAAATTCGCCTCTGTATAAATCTCAAATAAAGTTCTGAACATGTAATGATCTGTAACGTTTCAACAATTATAGGCTCAATGATCAATACGCGATCTGTTCCTAATTCGTTTGAATCCAATATTTTATCTCGATTGATCGACTGAGCTGATGAATCATGTCTTTTGCTGTTTAAACTATTACTATTTAACTTCTTGAGCACTGAACAAAGTTCATCAAGATGATGATAATTATAGAAACGCTCGATTACACACTTGACGTATTGATCAACAACACAATGAACAGAAGATACAAGCCCAAATATGTTCCCTGGGCCTAATAAAAACATAAGAAAATCAATAAATAACACTACGTAACCTGATTACAGCTACCCCCACATATAGAAATCCGTAAAACTCCCTGTTATAAATGGATTCAAATAAATAAGTGATGTACAGTACATTTGTACTGCAGTTAGCAGGAGGATATAGGACGTGTGTTGCCTCCTGTTTAGGACACGTCAGATGGATGTACCAGCATCAGTAGTGATGCTTACACTGAGACCTCAATTCAGTACCTATCGCCTTAAAAGTCAACGCATTATCCAATAAACTAATGATTCCAGATAGCCACTGACGTGTCCAACGGGTCAGGGGATCGTATTCTCCACCTACTGAGATTTCAGGGCTACAAAGAATGCATACTGAGGACTCGTAATTTAGAAGGCAATATTGAAGCATTTACTCAGGATGCAAACATACCAGTGAATTGCACACCAGTATATAAACAACAGGAAAACACAAACCCTTACAAATAAATTGATGTGTTTGAAAAGGTTATGCAAATAGTTTCCCGGTATTAATACAACACAATTATTTACTATAATTGTATCACACAAAATCATTACGTGTCATCATAAACGAGTTAACCAAAATAAAATGCCCATGAACATAGTAAATGAGGAAAAAATGAGTCTACAAATTTTGGACTGTTGTGTTCTTTACAAATAAGTGGTGTTACTAGGCCTCTAACCTTCGTCATCACTAATTACTTGCATTGTGATTGTCAATGGGACAAGAAGTTTAAAATACTCCCTAAACAACTGATAAGACCCTTATTCTTCTCCATTCAGATAGTGTGATAATGAGAAAACACTACAGCAGTATAAAACGTCAGTTTGAACAACTGTGTAGAATCGGTAAACTGCACACTTAATAAAATGGAACTGGGAGTTGAGTTATTGAACCAGTCTTGAAGGAAGTACATGCTCCTAGTTTGATGTTTGCACCAGAACCGATATATCTAGTTACAGACTTCAGATGGTATGAATAAAATCGATGACAGTAAGATTATTGCGATTATCATTCATTTTCCTCCAGCTTTTGCAACAGTTATACTATACATTCTTTTTAATTCTACGATTTCATTTGTTTGACTCCCTCTTATTTATTGCTTTAGTTTTTACTGCTGTTAGTATTGTAATCCAGAACTCCTTTTCTGTTGATTTATTTCTACTGTGCTTTTGTAGGGCTGTGTCAACCTAGACCGTTTATTGTCTGCAATTCCTGTTTGTCCTTTAGTATCTTCCATGATTTTTACTAAATTCCGATATCAGTGTACAGACTGAGAGTGAACTAAGAGAAAAGCAACTTTTTACCGGAGTTTCTGCTTTATAACTCAAGTTAATGTACATTCTTTCAAGGGCGCTTTTTAGGGACTGATGAATTTTCAGTTTATATCAAGAACTGACTTTAGTTAGACCACAACTGAAAACCAGGAGGCCCCGAACACTTGTTCCGTCATAGTATGAGACTTTCTTCTCAGTGTGCATCTTTGTCCCCAGAGGGGATCAAAACTAAGATCTTTAGCTTTATAAGCAAAGATGGATAGTGGCTAGCAGTGAAGTTTAGGACGCGCGTTTTGTCATATATGGGACTCTTCGGTTGGACGCACCCCCATCCCAGAGCTGATGTTTACCCTAGGATTCGAACTCAGTACCGTTCGCTTCAAACGCCATCGCGTTATCCACTCGGCTACTGTGTCCTGATAGTCACTTGCTTGTGCAATGGAACGAAGTTTTAATTCACCTGGTATTGTTTGCTGGTATCTTCCCACCGTTGTTTAGGACTGCAATTGATCAGTTTGTTGTTGGCATATGTGCACGCACATCCAGCTGATGAGTCCTAAATAAAACGAAACGCGCGTCCTGGATTCTACTGCTAGCCACTATCCATCTTTGCTTACAATGCTTGTGAATTAGGGCTATATCGATGCAATCGGCACAGGATGCATATATGACAGTAAGAGACTGATCGATTGCAGTCCTAAACAACAATGGGAAGATACAAGCAAACAATACCAAGTGAATTAGGATCTTTAGGTCTTGCGCAATATAACACATTGGTTGAATTAAATATATAAATCACTGGATTCCGATTAAATGGTCAAAACATCAAGCACTTACCTCAAGACCTAGAAGTTCAGGGTTCTATCCTCGGTGGAGTCGTGGACGTGCACTACTGTGGAGTCAAATACTAAAACGAAACAGATGTCCAGTACTTCCAGGTTTTTAACTATAGTCTAACTAACGTCAGTTTGTGATATAAGCTGTACTAATTCATATTCACCAAGTAAAATGAACTTAAACCTAGACTTGATCTGGAAATCCAAATGGAATTCGAACAAAAATAATAACAACAATAATAGTTGTATGCTTTTTTTAAACTAGCACCTAGAGAACGAACCACCACTAACCTTACACTTCATGGTTCGATAATTAAGATGATTGATCTGATGAAGCTAATCTAGTTAATTGCGCATTAGTAATATATTATTTGCTTCCAGTGGCTAACTCGAATAAAAATTATCTCGTCATGTAGGAGAAAGTATAGGAAGATGAATAAAACATATTTTGCTACCATAACAACCGGTATTTTGCAAATTCGTAACACTAAAATACTTTTGCTCCCCGTAAACATTTCACATTGGAAATTTCAGAAAAATTAGCTTTAGCACAACTCTCCTTGTTTCTTTAAATGACAATAAACATTTTATACTTACCACAGTATGTTTCGACGTACATTGAATTATTTTTCAATGTATCCGCAACAAACTCTAAAATTTCTGTGATTAGATTAGCTGATGCAAATTCAGATGATTTTGAAGATGATTTATAAGTAGTTATCAATATTTCACATTTATTTGAAATGTATGAACAAAGATATGTAGAAAATCGTCGAATCCCTTCATTGGTTTCGCCCAATAAGAAAAATATCTTTAACAAATGTACTATATTCTTTTCATCCCGTTTCGAAACATATTCATCAAATTTCCCAATTGCCATCTTCACGAGGATTTGTCGACTGTCATCCAGAGTTGTCAATGGGTTATTATCAGGATTATCTATAAAGTATTATTTTAGATCATTATTAACATGACTATCACAAAAAAGAGACAATTTTCAATCGAAAAGTAGAAACTATAACACGTAATATTTGAGGATAGGGTTTATAAAATCAGAATAAATATAGTATGTGTATGTTGGCAAGCTAAACTGTACAATCGTGTTGTAGTTTGATGAGCTGAATCAGTACCAGGATTATAAACCACAGAGAAATGTAGGAATTCTCACAAATCTGTACTGTGACAATTTAAACAAGATTATAATTGTTTCTACTAATTAAACCTCTCTCCGGCTGTGCCATAATAAACGTTAATTTATATTTATAATACAGTATAGAAACCATTAAAATGATAGAAAAAAGCACGGAGGTGTACGAACTAATTAGTTGTCCTTTTAATCTTGATATCACTATTTAGTTCTATTGGGTAATAAAAACCTTGTTGAGCAACATATGCCTGTTACAGTATTAGCTAGTTCGTGGAGCCTGACGTTCGAACATGTTTCAATATATTGGCTTCTCATACTAATATACTGTCAAATTGGCTTTGATATATATGGCTTTGGTTTGCCCCTTGTTTTTGAAGTATACTCTAAAATTTTGGCCGTTCACTATCATTGATATTACTAGTATTTCGACTCATTTGCTACTTTTCGTTGATGTCATCTTTATTATATCCCGATAAGAATAATGAATGGTAACTTTTGGGATCCATTTATGGACCAAAACTATGCGTATATTTTTATCGTATAATTGTTAAGTAACTGAATTATTCAATATTCATGTCCCTCTTATTATGAGCTATATTTCGACCTATGAATTATTAAACGATTCATCATTCTTGAGTTATACTCAGTCTATCAATTACTACCTCCAACATTCACAGCCACTTTTGGCCAAATCTTGTACAAATGTTGTTTCCTATCTTACGGTACGATGAGGTTTGCCTGATCGGTATATAAACGCAGTATGTTTGGAATAAATGATTCATATCGCAGAGGCTGAGATTGGTAGGGCTAGGTAGGAAGCAGGACCGATAAGGACTCTAGACTGCTCGTACAGGTTTTATGCGTCATTGGTCCGATCGATAATCCACTGTTCTCTAATTGGCGGTATCATCACATTAAACATCAACAGGACACAGTGCACAAGTTATAACAATCTTATTAAGCTACCATGAGATCCTAACCTGGGCACAAACACATTTGTGTCAAGTTATATGTTGATTATGACTAATTCGTAACTCCTTAGACACTTTATTAGTTTCCAATTAGTCAAATCACCAACATGGTCATTAAGAATAGTGGATATTCGTAGGTTACATGCATCAAATCATAGGTATTTTCGAAGCATTGCTCGTGTATTTTGGGACCACAGAATAAATAATGCCTGAGTTAAGAATAGGGTATTAGGTAGGAATGACAAATAGATTGATGAGGTAGTAAATCTTCATCAAGTGAGGTGGTTGAAACATGTGTTACGTATGTAGGTGTGGGAGAAGGCTGGAAGAAAGCTAAGAGCAGCCAAACCGAAACATAGCATCAGTCCATGAAGTCATTGACATTTGGACTTGGTCATGTTAATAGGTATAGACTACCTTATTGAGGTACGTGTGGTTATCGTAACCAATGGTTAGGGACTTTAAATGACATGGCTCAAAATCGCCTGCAATGGCGCAGTTGCATCCATTTTTTGTCTTCCCCTAAATTCCTCATGAATCTCTTGTTTTTATTTCACTAATTTATATTTTCCAATTGAATCATATTTTCGGTGCCTAACCTTTCCCATTACCACTGATACGGTGACTACGTCTACTAATCTGGGATTTGGCCTGACAACTTCATTTCTCAGTGATGATGGGGTATGAAAACTTGAACTGATATACAAACGCACCAGGTTCTACGTTGTGACTGACTGAGACCACCACCATACATTTGACAGGCGTGAAGCATTCATTTAAATACGTCTAGTTTCTCACCTTTAGACTTTATAATGATGATATCAATATTGTGACTTATCAGCCAATTACGAAGCTCCATACCGGGATTTGAGTCATGGTTTGTGACTAGTGATAATATCTGAATACTTAAAACACAGAATTTGAAGTTTAAACCTACCCTACATTGGTCGATAGTTTAATGTTTAAACCAACAAGCCACTAATTCACTATTGAAGTATTTGAAAATGTTTCACTTTTTATTCCTTTTACTTAATGGAATAGTGTTCGACTGATACAACGGTAAGATTACATCAATCTTTAAGAAATTGGCAATAAACGTCACCATCAACATATACAGCAGTTAAACGTAAGTGGCGAGAACAAATGGCCAATGTATGCTAAGTTTTCATACCATGACCAATGATAGAACTGTGACTTCTGAACTATTCTAAACTTGTAAGTTTTTGAGACATGTTATGCACACTCCAGTTACGTCATATTCTGATGTTCAATGCTAAGCGATCTGGTAGGTTGAGAGGTTAAAAGCGACCACGAAATCATCTATCTAAGCTGTGTGGGAGAGGTATCGAATTCTTGATCAAGGTCCTCTAGATGATAGTGGTAAACAGTTGAAGAACTCGAATAAACGTGGCTCGAAATAGGACTTAACAACATAGATTTATTTATTTCCTACTTATTTCTAAATTCCGATTTTAATATAGATACTTTAGTCACTTACTTCGGCTAATACTGCAATTATTTTGGCATCTATTACTTTCACGTTGTTAGGCTCTTCCTTCATTTGTTTCGACATGAAGTATAGGGGCTGCCTGAGACATTTCTAAATGGTCCCTCATTATGACTGAAACATGTAGTCTTCCCACTTTCATATAATTTGCTGACCAGGATCTCATGTTAGGCATGTAGTTACAGGTTATCGGGAAGATATCTCTACTTCCAATAAAACCACAAGCAGAGAAGTCGAAGTAACAATTCACAACCACTTTTTAAGCAATTCATCAAAATATGCTTTATATATGTAAGCGAATGAACCCGGACAGTGAGAAAACTACTAGTTTAGACAGCTGATATTTTAAAGTGAAAAACAGGCTTACCCGCTGATAGACGAGAGATAAGAGAAATTATGTCTCTCTCCATTTCCAGATAAGTAAACACGTGACCAGCGGCCTAAAAATAACTGTGATAATCAACTAAGTTACTTCATCTAATTTAGAGTCAATGAGACATTGTTTCACTCCAACTGCACTGTTCCTTACAGTAATTATATGACTAAGTTTATCTACACAATTAAGAACATGATTCTGAAAAATACTAGGAATTCAATAAGATTACTTTCACAAAATCTAATTGCGCCACTTTCCCACTGAGCTGTAGAGCAAGTTTTGAAGCACAGCCCACCAATCTTGAAGAATTTTCGGCATTTATTTGTAACTTATGGAAATCAGGTCTACAGAAAAAGTATAGCTAACGGGTTCGCATACATTAGAGAGTTTATCTTTTTTAATTTATGCTCTATTTCACTTCTTTTAGCAAGTAAGTTCTTGATTTCATCAGATACATCTGCCTGTAAAATCAATTTTATGCAAAACTCCAATATTACTTACCTTAACATTATGGGACTTCTCAACTAGATCCTTAAGCTCGGAAAAGTCGTCAATCGTGCATACATTAGAGTTCATGATATTGGTCAGAGTCCAATTACTTTAAAACAAAACAATCCCAGAAGAATTAGATGTCAGGTGTGGAAACTAAAACTCCGCCTATACCTCTTCTAGGGATACTGCCGGTCCCAAGCCAACACAAACGAAGAGGGCTGGGAGTGGGGTCGGCAACCCTATCCCGTAGAAAACAACCTAGCTGAATACAAATACTAACCAGAATAAAAAATTTAAACCACTTAAACTCTGTTCTCCGAATTCAAGCATCTTCATTCAGAAGAATTATCACGCCTCATCATGAAAGCCGAAATTCTTCGGAAGTCACGAGGTCGATGCCCCTTCTAACAACCAGAGCAACATTCGTTAAAGGTATACGGAATGTCTAGACAATGTGGGAGACCGGGAGGACCAGTTAAATAGCAACGGAAATTATACAAATTGGCAGTTCTCGGAATCAGTGAAACTCATTGAACCCAAACTGGACAGAAAACATTAGATTTGGGAAAGATACTCACGAACTCTGGTCACGAACAAAAACATGCTCCACACACTCACGCAGTTGCTCTGATGCTGTTCGAACAAGCACGGAATGCACTTGTAGGATGGCAATCTGATGGATGCTGGAACATCAAAGCATCCTTTAAAACAAAGGAGGGAATTACAATGAATGTTATCCAATGTAATGTACTCACCAATGATAGTAATGACGATGATAAAGATCAGTTCTACAAGAGGAAATATGAAACAACTATATCACACGACGAAAAAACTGGTAGGGGAATATAGTAAGCCAGAGAGACCAGTCAAGGACGAAGAAGACAAGCCAATCACCGAGATTGAAGAACAGGGGAACATAAGGATAAAGCACTGCGAGGAAATCTTGAATAGACCAGCTCCATTGAATTCACCGGATATCGAAGCAGTGTATACAGACCTTCCTATAGATGTCATTCCACCAACGATCGAAGAAATTAATTGTGGCCATCACACAAATCAACAGTGGGAAATCGGATGGATCTGACAATATACCAGACGAAGCACTAAACTCAGACATAGAAGCAACTGCAAACATGCTCCAAGTTCTATTCAAGAAGACAGACAGACTGGAAAGGAGAATACCTCATCGATATATCGGAGAAAAGAGATTTGAGCAAATGTGAGAACTACAGAAGCATCATACTACTATCAGTACCAGGAAACTTTCTCAACAATGTTGCTGAACCGGATGAAAGATTCAGTAGACACCCAACTTCGGGTAAAGCATACCGGATTCCGAGATAATCGGTCGTGCACTGATCAAATCGCGACACTATGGATTATCGTTGAACAATCAATTGGATGGTACTCGTCACCATATATCAAATTCCTTGACAATGAGGCGTTTGACAGTGGGATAGGACATTATAGGACCTTCTTCGACACTATGGATTGAGTAGCTGAAAAAATCGTCAACATCATACCGAATTCATACGATGGACTAAACTGTAAAGTGGTGGATGGAGGACTACTGACAGACCCACTCGAAGTGAGGACCGGTGACAGACAAGATTGCCAACTAACCCAATTCCTATTTCTTCTGGTGGTTGGATGAATTATGAAGACCTACACATCTGAGGGAAAGAACAGAATACAATGGACAAATTGTATGCAACTAGACTTGGACTTCGCAGATGACCTAGCCGTTCTATCCCATAAATATCAACAAATCCAGGTAACGAACTTATGGAACTTAAAACGACTGACTAAAAGCTATTATCAAGATCAGAATTTTCAATAGGAACGTCAAGACAGTTCTATCGTATAGAGCCGAAACTTCCAGAACTACTACAACTACCAGCAGGAACGTACAAGTATTTATAAAGGGTTATCTAAGCAAGATACTCATTGTCCGCTACTGACCGAATACTGCCAGCAACAGCCCTACTATAGGAGAGAACAAACCAGGTTCCAGCTGAGGAGGAAATTAGGAAAAGAAGTTGACAGGTGGATAGGACACACATTACAAAAATCATCAAACTGCATCACAAAGCGAGCGCCAACTTGGAATCCTGGAGGAGAGAGTGAAAGAGGAAGGCCAAACAACATATTGCGTGGGAAATTGGAAGCAGACATCAACAGCACAAACAGTAACTGGAAACAATTGTCGAGGTAAGAGTTGGATGGAGAATGCTAGTGGGTGATATTTGCTTCTCTACGTGTAAGTAAGCAATCAAATATTGTTTATTCCTACGTAGTTATCTACGTTTTTTGTACTAAAGATATCGAGAACACCAAGCATGTTGAAGTCAACTTCCTTTGTAACACGCTATGCAAGCCTCTGGAACAGGTTGCCAGTAGACATTCGGTTTAGAGACCGACAAGCTGGATTCCGTAAGGATAGATCCTGTACAGACCAAATCGCAACTCTACGGATCGTTGTGGAACAATCAATTGAATGGAATTCATCACTCTACATCAACTTCATTGACTACGAAAAGACATTTGATAGCGTGGACAGAACAACACTATGGAAGCTTCTTCGACACTATGGCGTGCCTCAGAAGATAGTCAATATCACACAGAGTTCATATGACGGATTAAAATGGAAAATCGTGCATGGAGGACAGTTGACAAAGTCGTTCGAAATAAAGACCGGTGTCAGGCAAGGTTGCTTACTCTCATCCTTTCTCTTTCTCCTAGTGATCGACTGGATCATGAAGACGTCAACATCTGAAGGGAAACGCGGGATACAATGGACATTTAGGATGCAGTTAGACGATCTAGACTTCGCAGATGATCTGGCCCTTCTATCCCAAACACAACAACTAATGCAGGAGAAGACGAACAGTGTAGCAGCAGCCTCAGCAGCAGTAGGTCTCAATATACACAAAGGGAAGAGTAAGGTTCTCCGATACAACACAGCATGCACCAATCCAATCACAATTGACGGAGAAGATTTGGAAGATGTAAAAACCTTTACATATTTGGGCAGCATCATTGATGAACACGGTGGATCTGATGCAGATGTGAAGGCGCGGATCGGTAAAGCAAGAGCAGCATATTTACAACTGAGGAACGTCTGGAACTCAAAGCAACTGTCAATCAACACCAAGATCAGGATTTTCAATACAAATGTCAAGACAGTTCTACTGTATGGGGCGGAAACCTGAAGAACTACGAAAGCAATCATCTAGAAAATACAGATGTTTATTAACAATTGTCTACGCAAAATACTTCAGATCCATTGGCCGGACAATATTAGCAACAACGTACTGTGGGAGAGAACAAAGCAGATCCCAGCGGAGGGAGAAATCAGGAAAAAGCGCTGGAAGTGGATAGGACACACATTGAAGAAAGCACTCAACTGTGTTACAATGCAAGCCCTTACATGGAATCCTCAAGGTCAAAGGAGAAGAAAAAGACCAAAGAACACATTACGTGGATAAATGGTGACAGACACGAGAAAAATTGGATAGAACTAGAAAGAAAATCCCAGGACAGAGTAGATTGTCGAATGCTGGTCGGCGGCCTATGCTCCATTGGGAGTAACAAACGTGAGACATCCGGTCGGGTCAGACGCTTCCCCAATTTATATCTTTCCTCAGTTGCTTTATGGACCAATTCGGAGTTCCCCACATGCTCAATGGAGCTTAATAAGTTATGGTCTCGCCGGAGCATTTTACGCCTGTAACAAATTTAACGTACGCGTTCCCTTTTTCATTTAATTGTGAGAACGGGAAACAAACTTTCAAATTTACTTATAATTAATTTCGATTTTGGGCTGTGCACAACAGAGAAATAAAAAAGTATCGCTAAATAAGTGTTGCTATTACCCCTGAAGCGCCGCCCGTGTTCTTCATGGTCACAGCTCATACTAAGCGCTCCTTATAAATACTTTACAACGACTACAAATGTCTTGGAATGATCTGATCTGGTGTATAACATGAACGCGATATCATTTTTGAAAGACTGTAAAAACTGCACTGATAGTGTGATACTATGACATAAACCTAACTAGGAACGCTGTAACGGTAAATAAATCCCCAAAATGAATAGCTCTGTAAGTTTTCGACATTGGATGATGACCACATGTTTTAATGGACTCACCTAGCTGAAGGCGCTCGGTCGTGCATCCGCACCAGATCACGAGTGAGAACGCCGTGCTCAACAACCCCTGCAATCGCCAACCAGATTAGATCAGACGATTCTCGATAATATTGATAGCATATCAAATATATCTTCGAACTTCCTCGCTTCTGTCTTTTGATTTCATTTGGTGGGTACACTTCATATAAAAGGCGTTACTGGTTAAAGCGTTGTCAAACTCTGAATACCTGTTGCATCTCAAACGTCATAATAAGTTCTGCCTTTAGTATTGGAAGGAAACAAACCTGAGAATTACCGACCCGCTAGGCTAACGAGCGTTTTTGTTAAAACTTTAGATAAGGGGTTGTTTAAATACCTTCGATGAAAGCCGGATCCTTTCGGAGGAACAGCATGGTTTTAGGGTACGTTATTCCTGTCTCGCTAACTTGTTAGTGACTCGTGAAAGCTGATGTGTCCTTAAGAGCCAAGAGTTACCCATAGACGTAGCCTGCATTAAATTCAGAAAAGCTTTCGACAAAGTTCCGCACAACTGGCTGTCAAGAAATGTCGGGGTCGAAGGTAATCTGTTAATATGGATAAGATTTCCTAGTTGCGCGCCAACAAAGAGTACGGGTAAACTCCAAGTTGTCTAGCTGGGAGACTGTGTTTCGCAGAATGCAGTTCTGGAGCTAGTGTTATTCCTCTTCCGTATGAATGACCTCCTTCATCTAATATCATCATCAGTCTTGCTATATGCTGACGATGTCAAGATATGGAGAGCTATACGAAGTAAGGGTGATAGCCTAGGACTTCAAAATGACCTGGGGAAATTATCTGAATGATCTCAAACCTGGCAGTCCCCGATTATTACTTCCAAGTTTACTGTGATGAATATAGGTCATCAAGTTACGATACATACATGATGGATAGCATTGATCTACAACGACGTAGTGGTCATCGTTAGCCAAGTCCTAAAAACTGGATTACAACTTTCAAACTACTTAATGATAAATTTGCACATGATATGCCTCATTTTTCTCTCCTAAGACAGAGAATTTACGAGGACACTCCATAAAAGTTCATAAGCCCAAAGCGAATTATTAGTTAGCTAACTATCGACGTTCCCATCGAATTATGAACGGGTGGAATTCATTACCTCAGCACGTGATTGGAGCTTCACTTGTCGACCAGTGCAAAGGAAAGTTGGATCAACTGAGGGACTATCATTGCCAGGACTAATACAGGCCATCTAACATCCTGCCCTTCCCAAATTGAAACTGATTAACCCTGTGGGACATTTGCCCGAATGTACTACCTTCTATTTTTATTGATTTCATCTGATTACAAACCTCTGCTGGGATGCATTTTATGTACAAACCAATGTTGTAAATTATAGATCGTTCCTGTGAAAATGACATGTGCCTGCTCAGGAAGAAATATACCATTATATTATTATTGAAACCTGTATTGTTTGTAACATTTTAGACAAGTGAGTGTATTATATCCCAACTATTCTTCGTAAGTGTTGTGGCATCTATTCATAGTGTTTTTACATATATTCTATATTTCCTGTGTTCATACTCAAGTGACTCGTGGCATGATAATAAAAACACGTCCCAAATGTGTTTTCTACGCCTCAATCGCTTTCGGGTTTCATTTTCAATCTATGGAGAACAATAAGATATTTTACGTGTTGACCAAGGAATTAATAATAATGATACAGACCAAAAATATAGCTTTAAACTTATTCTATTCGCCTTCGACTAGCCCATTTACACTGGACGACAAATCTTTAGAGGAAACGCAGTCTCGGACTGCCGAAACGAAAATCCACAAAATATTGGGACTGGGTGGAGCAGATACATACAGGATTTTATGAGTCCAAGACCTACGGTGCAGTACAATATGATCACAGTTTGTTTGTGGAGGCAGCTACTAAGTGCTAGTGACGCCATGACAGCAATATGTAGAGATGAGTTACAGCAATGACGGTCTATGTTACAAGTCAATATATGTGGGTTTGCGACACATTAGAGAACTGCGCGCCGTATTACTGGTTACAGCAAGCTGCAGTCAACGCATCCACCTGAAGCATAAGTCCTATCCGTTTGTTGTATGTAGCACTAAATTTACCAACGATGAGGCAACAAGTGACCTTATTTGAAAATTAGACATAATTTGAGAATACTATAGACCTAAGTCCTCCAAAGATTTCTATACAGCGGTCAATGCAAGACGTCTTCAAAGACATTGTACTCGATTCCACAACTTAAATGATTTCTCCTCTTTAGTAACGATGACATAAATACTTGTCCGAGCAGAGGCAATAAGTACACAAAAAGCAGTACACAGGAAAAACGCGCAGTTGAACTTAATAATAACTCATCTGCACTCATCATACTCCTCCAAAATAAAACTAAACGTTATAAATAGAGAGGAAGTATATTCATTAAAGACAAACAAGTATACGAAGATACCAAAACTTTCACAGAATTACTTAGTGAACACTTTTGTTTCTCACTAACTAACGGATACTGCTTAATGATTCAGAACCAATCGCAGTGCCTCCCTGTGAAATTACTTATGTAGAATTCAATGTACAAAATATTTCCAAGGCAATCAGTACATTGAAACACTCCTACACTGATGGACCAGATGGTATTCCATCTAGCATACTAAAACATGGAGGTAATGATATGTGTGTTTTGCTTCTCAAACTATTTGCGATATCACTCTCTACAGCGTGTTACCCTACTGACTGGAAAACTACACATATCATTCGCAAAATTAAAACAGGGCCTGAAGCAAATGTTGACAATTACCGACCAGTAAACATAACTTCAGTGGTATCTAGAGTGATCAAAACAATAGTTAAGGCCGCTGTAGCTCAACATCTACTTACTAACAATCTCATCTGGACCTCCCAGTATGGATTTCTTAGATCCAGAGCATGCGATACATGCCTAGTAGACCACTTGAATGATATAACTCTGAAGCGAAACAGCGAACTCCTTGTATCAACACTATTTTTAGACTTTACGAAAGTCTTTGATAAGGTCCCACACAAAAGGCTACTCGTCAAACTAAAGTCTTTTTGGAATAAACAACCCACTGTACTCATGGTTTGCTTCGTTCTTAACAGAACGTAAACAGATGGTAAAGTACAACGACTGTCTCTCGTCACCTAGACCAATCACCCGTGGAGTTATCCAGGAAAGCGTATTAGGTCCACTTTTGTTTCTTATGTATATAAACAATATATATAACACCATAGAATTTGAGAAATCATACTTATATGCTGATGATTTCAAAATAGTATACAGCTATAAGCCTGAGACCCCAAGCGAAAGTGTATCTCAGATCCAAAAGGACCTCAATAACTTAACTATCTAGAGTGAAAAATAGCAATTACCATTTAACCTCAACAAGTGCGGGATAATGCACTTTGGAAAGCATCCCTATAAAACACAACTTCACTTAAATAAAAGTAGAGTTCAAAGATTCGAATCGGTACACGATTTAGGAATTAATTACACAGGAAGCCTGAACTTTGAAGAAAATGCCTCCTCTATTATTTCTAAATCTGGACGGCTAATTGGTTTCATAATGAAACATTTTTTCACAACAGAGGCTAAGCTTACTCTCTACAAAATATGTGTACGGTCATCCTTTGAATACTGCTCCTTTGCAGTGCAACAACTGCAAAGGTTGGTTTCACGAAAGCGTGCACAGATATGACGGCAACTGCTTACAACAGACTCAGCAAGTCGGACCAAAAGTGGGTATGTGTCACGTGCAGCACGGATGCTGTAGTCTTTCTGAGTAACATCATCGTCCTAGTGACAGGTATGCGGAACAAGTTGTCAGTTAACTTGGATAAGGATAGTAAAAAACCGGCAGACAAACGCGAGCGTGCGACGAACACAAGATTAGGGATGTCGACAGGTCTACCATCGATGGAGCATGCATTAGCACTAATGATAACATGTTGAAACTCTGCACCATCATTACGTCAACGGTAATAGACTACCTTAGTAAACTCAGGTCTCCTAACTCAGGGTCCTTGAATGCAACAGTGGCTCCCCAAGACTATGTAGGTGATTGGACACACGTTAACACAGCCAAATGAACCAGGCGTCACAGTCTAAGCTGAACATACCAGGTGTTGTACGGAAATCAACTGGTGATTTGGTCGAACAGTCTAACCCCAAGAATGTCCATCCGGTCATCAAAGAGGCTAGCGTTCAGAAACGTGCTTCGATCTCCAAACAACAAGGTGCTGAACCTGAACGCACCGTCAGTCCTTAAATTTCTTCTCACCCCAACAGCACGGTTTCAGGAAGGGTTACTCTTGTATTACCAACCTGTTGACTACAGTGGACAGATGGACAAGCATCCTCGATTGCAAGGGGGAGGTTGATACCATCTACCTTGATTTCTCAAAAGCTTTTGATAAGGTTAACCATACATATCTTGTCAATAAGCTCAAACGATTGGGAATCAGACCACCTCTAATCGATTGGCTCACGTCATACCTGAAACACTGACATTTTAAGGTCAGGGTTAATTTCACTTTCTCTCAGGTTATAGAATGTCCTAGTGGGGTCCCCAGGGCCCTGTATTAAAGGCTCTTCTATTCTCGATCTACATAAATGATCTTCCTCAACAGGTAACGTCAGACTTATTACTTTTTGCCGACGACGTGAAGCTTTGGAGAGAGATACGCAACCAAGACGATATACAGGCACTTCAGGAGGATCTGACTCGACTTCAAAGTTGGGCAGACGGTAATGGACTTACCGTTAACACTTCAAAGTGTAAAGTAGTACATCTGCGACATGTCGCAGACTACAGTTATAACTTAGAAAACTCCCCTCTAGTAGTATCTCAAGTCGAAAAAGATTTAGGAGTCTTGGTGCCCTACGATTTAAAGTCTAACGCTAACTGTGACAAAAATGCCTTCCGAGCAAACCTTGCACTGGTAACGTTGATTCGCATTTTTGGCTAGTTTGACGGAAGAACTTTCCATATAATCCTCAGTAGTTTTATCCGTCCCCATTTAGAGTACGGAAACATAGTATTTCCCCCCTCATTCCAAAAGGATAAGGACACCCTGGAGCGTATTCAACGGCGAGACACGAAATCAGTTCGAGGACTCAAATCTAAGCCTTACGAAGAACGCCTCCATTCACTTAACCTGTACCCATTAGAGTATAGGCATCTTAGAGGTGACCTTCTGATGGCTTATAGTATTCTTAACACTTCTGGACATCCTCTCAAACACCTACTTAAGCTTAGTTCGAATAATAACCTAATGGGTAACACCCAGAAACTGGAAACTCAACATAGCAAGACGGAATGTAGACACAACTTCTACTTCTTAAGAGTTGTCAAAAGCTGGAATTCGCTGCCAGCCGAGCTAGTCCAAGCGGCTTCCCAGGAGTCCTTTAAGAGGCAACTTGATCTATTCTTAAGGACTAAGGATAGTATCGCACTATGATTTACCAATTTCTTTTTCCTCTTTTATTGTTAACATACCTAGGTTCCTGCCTGGAGGATTTGGTGATCCCCTGCTACCAGACACGGAAGCCTGTTAAGCGAAAGCTTCTTCTACTCCGTCCACAACCGTTTGAACCATTTGAAGACTCAAGGTCGCTGGACTGATGAAGCGGCACAGTTGTAAAAATGTTGTCATTTGTTTATCGAAGACTTTTGGGTCGACTCTACTTTCGTACTTCTAATTTGAATACATCTTTCCGAATTCCTGTTTCTAAGGCTTTTGGTAAGTTACAATTTTACTTTGATATGATTTATTCAGTTTCAACCTCGCCGGCCTTTGTATATAGATCTCATGCTTGTGGTGAGCTGAGTACGCGACATATCAACTCTACCGTTACAGTATGCGGGTGGCTTGAATATTGTCGACTGTCATCTCGTTTTCTTGTTCTTCGTGATGATCGTGGTTTAATACAAATATATTGTGACAAAAATTCTCTCCAAATTCCGCAACTTACTTTTGAGTCTGTCCTGAGAGTGACTGGTAAAGTCCAAGCACGTCCGGAAAAGGATGTGAATAAGGTAGTGTTATTTGTGTTATATCTTAGCTTCAAGCTTATGCCAACTGGCGATATTGAAATAGTTGCCGAAAGCATTGAAATCCTCAGTCGTTCGTCTTTACTTTCCTTTCTTCCGAAAGATGCAGCGAATGTTAGTTGTTATCCTACGATCACTCAATCATTTTAAGGTCAACGAAACAGAAAGATTAAAATATCGTTACCTTGATCTTCGGTCGTCGAATATGCAAGGAAACATTCGGTTTCGTTCATCTATCACATTGCAAATGCGAAGCTTCTTGTGTCAAAATAATGGTATCGTACATCTTTTGTGATTCACATATATAGGTTTTATTGAAATCGAAACTCCATATTTGTTCAAAATTACTCCAGGGGCAAGTATTTGATAATTTTTTATTTCTTTAGGGTGCCCGTGAGTTTATTGTACCTACCAAGTTTCCTGGATTATGGTACTGCTTACCTCAAAGCCCCCAACAATTCAAGCAACTTTTGATGATAAGTGGATTTAGTAAGTATATGCAGATCGCCAGATGTTTTCGCGACGAGACCTCTAGGTCTGACAGACAGCCCGAGTTTACTCAGGTTATTTTTCATTCTTCCTAACGTTTGTAGTTGGACATAGAAATGGCATTTATCACTCCAGATGATATTTATGAAATAATTGAAAATATGTTGTTATATATTTGGCCTACAGTTCAGAGTACTTCAGGTTGTCGACCAATTTCGGCACCTTTTTTGCGCATGAAATATTGTGATGCTATGTCACGATATGGAAGTGACAAACCAGATATACGCTTTGGTTTCTTATTTTCATATTCCGCGGTTGATGGACACACCGGTTTTAATATACCAAGGAAATACGTAAGTGTCTTCTTATGGTTCTTCACTTTCTAGGTTCTCGAAAGCTTATATGTAGTTAGTAAATGCCAGGTTTATATTTCACTAGAGAGAAAATTGTCCATCTGGACACTTCTCTGTATCATTTGAATATAGAAAAGTGTAATAATAATTTATCGACTTCATAGGTCAACAGCGGTGATATGTTGAGATAATTTTCTCGAAATAGCTTCATCCTCAGAGCAACTTGGTACGTGTTAGCTAATTTTGATAAGTTGGTTTAATGTTGGTTATATCCCACTGATGTCTGCTTTGTTAATGCTATCTTCTGATAATGGTAAGAAGATAATGGTTTTCTCAGCAATGAGAAGAGTGTTCGTTATTTATCTTCATGGCTTCATCAACGTTGATCAGTGTATTAAAATTGATCCTGGTATTCAGAGTAGTAGTGAAAACTCCACAGTTTTATAGCACTTCCACAAAAATATTAGTCTAATAACTAATGGGTTTTGAATAGTAGATAATGACCTTCTTCAAAACATTCCCCTCACACCTATTGTCATACTGATGGGATTCATTCTTCATAGTATCCGACACGCGATTCGCCAAACGTTTGTTAATGATAATCGAGAAAAACTATGTGTAAGTGCTGATTTCTTGATTGAGGTTTAAAGTCGCAATAATTTTTCATATTTCCTCAATTCTCCTGGTTTTATTCAAATATCCGTATTGTCCTTTCACTTGATTTCCCTTTTGTAGTAATTTCTTCCCACTTTTCTAATAAGAAACGTGGAAACCTCGAAAAGTTTGGATTTACTCCAGGCCCTTTATTGTTTACGGTGTATATCTCGTATAATATTGGCTTTCTTCTTCTTTCAGTCATCAAGTTTAAGTGCTGAAGATTGGGACTCCTTGGAGGATTTGGTTTTTCGCCTAACGGGCCAAGTATGTCATCTGTATCTTCATTTTCTGTGGGGTGTTTTTAAGTGCTTTGTTTTATTAAACTTGATTTTACCCCAAATTTTACACATGCTTATGAATGCTAAACAAACTTCTCATGTTATGCATTTCGAAGAATCCACACAATCATAAAAACGAAATCAGCTCAGTCGGTCAGTTATAAAGCCGGGTACATGTGTGCGTCAGTGCAAGTCCTCATGCCACGTCTGCAAGACCAGACGAAATTGACAATAGGAAGAATAACATTTTTCAAAGTCATAGTATAACTGGTAATAATGAGAAAGATTGAGTACTGAAGAACCCTGATTTAGAGAATGAATTAGTTCAAGGAATAAAAATTGCGAATTAATTTTTAAGTTCAAGACTTTAGAGGCACTGAGTAAATGGATCTGTGTCACTCTTTGGTTCTGACCCATTCCATCCTACGCCTCCAACTGCTGACCATGATTATTGTGCAGACCCCAACCAGTGGGTTTACACTCACCAACAAAATAGTAATTTTATGTGCTGATGATGTGTCTTCGGAAGTGTCAGCCTCCCACGTAACTTTATTAACAACAGAGTTTGTGTTTGTAAACTTCTATTTGGTACATGTGGGTGGTAATCCAGTTTTTAAAAATAATAACATAAGCTCATCAGTCGTCTAAAACTCCAATAGTGTTAAAGATGGTTGAAACAAACTTTTCTTTTTATCAGGATCGAATGTAAGTATCAATTCATTTTCATTTAGTTAGGCAATCATTATAATTAAAACAAATGGTTTGTCTGTTTAACATTTCACTCCATCGACTATTCGAAACTTAATTGGAGTTAACGGAATACCTAATGGACGGTGAAATACCAGTGTTATACCCTGCTTATTGCTATTCGGAAACTTTAGTTTGTATGAATAAAAAACAACACGAAGTTCAGTGAAGAGATCTCTTTTCAACCATATATATGGTTGTACACCTTGATAATAGACTCGTTGAAAAGAGATCTCTTCACTGAACTTCGTGTTTTTATTATCTAAATGGGAATCTGTATTCAGTCGTGATTCATTCACTTAATGTTTTGTTTGAGTTCAGTTTTGATTAGTGTTTTAATGGATTTGGCTACCTTAATTTCTACTGGCTTTTCATATTTTATAGAGAATATCAATCTTTGCAGTTCAAAATATCAAGTCAAAACACTTGGACTTACTAAATTTATTAAAGCCAGAGTGTGGTGATTTAGTCGTCTTCATTAAAGGAAATACAGAAACTGAGGTAATAATTGCCTTTCAGACTGATTGGTTTTTGCCTACTAGTTAAAAGCATTGGGAATGGCACGAGTTGAAGTCGCTAAACTTATTGATTCGAAAGGTGATATCTTTTTCTATTTCATTATTTGATCAGCTAGCTTTTAGATATCGACTAAAGTTATATTCTTTTAGTGGTAATTGCGTATTTTCCGAATGAGCAAACTACTTCATAAACTAATCCCTTACTGAAGATTAACCCGAGTTAACAAGCCTTGTTCCAAATGTTAACTTTGATAATGGGTGACGTCATTACAAGCCGCCAATAGGTATTTCAGATAAATACTACTGAACAGCGTATTAATGAACTTGCAGTCTAGGTAGAGAACTTAGTTCTTATTGATACTACTTAACAAAATTAGGGCAGTAGTTTAGCGGTTAAAACATTTGATTTTCGATGTAGGTGCCACCTACTTCGGTTGCAGCTTGTCGATAGTGTCAGGATATCGATAGAAATTATCTACCATCAAAATACCTGAATTCTCTTATTTTTCAAAATTTTTCTACGGGAATAATGTTAACTATCGAAACATTACTTACGCCTGTTACTCCTAATAGAGCATAGGCCGCCGACCAGCATTCTCCAACCCACTCTGTCCTGGGCCTTCTTTTCTAGTTCCATCCAATTCTTGTTCATTTTTCTCATGTCTATTTCCATTTCCTGGCGTAATGTGTTCTTTGGTCTTACTCTCCTGCTTTGGCCTTGAGGATTCCATGTAAGGGCTTGTCTTGTGACGCAGTTGGGTGCTTTCCTCAATATGTGTCCTATCCACTTCCAGCGCTTTTTCCTGATTTCTCCCTCCGCTGGGATCTGCTTTGTTCTCTCCCACAGTACGTTGTTGCTAATATTGTCCGGCCAATGGATCTGAAGTATTTTGCGTAGACAATTGTTAATAAACATCTGTATTTTCTAGATGATTGCTTTCGTAGTTCTTCAGGTTTCCGCCCCATACAGTAGAACTGTCTTGACATTTGTATTGAAAATCCTGATCTTGGTGTTGATTGACAGTTGCTTTGAGTTCCAGGCGTTCCTCAGTTGTAAATATGCTGCTCTTGCTTTACCGATCCGCGCCTTCACATCTGCATCAGATCCACCGTGTTCATCAATGATGCTGCCCAAATATGTAAAGGTTTTTACATCTTCCAAATCTTCTCCGTCAATTGTGATTGGATTGGTGCATGATGTGTTGTATCGGAGAACCTTACTCTTCCCTTTGTGTATATTGAGACCTACTGCTGCTGAGGCTGCTGCTACACTGTTCGTCTTCTCCTGCATTAGTTGTTGTGTTTGGGATAGAAGGGCCAGATCATCTGCGAAGTCTAGATCGTCTAACTGCATCCTAAATGTCCATTGTATCCCGCGTTTCCCTTCAGATGTTGACGTCTTCATGATCCAGTCGATCACTAGGAGAAAGAGAAAGGATGAGAGTAAGCAACCTTGCCTGACACCGGTCTTTATTTCGAACGACTTTGTCAACTGTCCTCCATGCACGATTTTCCATTTTAATCCGTCATATGAACTCTGTATGATATTGACTATCTTCTGAGGCACGCCATAGTGTCGAAGAAGCTTCCATAGTGTTGTTCTGTCCACGCTATCAAATGTCTTTTCGTAGTCAATGAAGTTGATGTAGAGTGATGAATTCCATTCAATTGATTGTTCCACAACGATCCGTAGAGTTGCGATTTGGTCTGTACAGGATCTATCCTTACGGAATCCTGCATGTTGGTCACGAAGTTGGGCGTCTACGCAGTCCTTCATCCTGTTTAACAATACTCTGTTTAAGACTTTTCCCGGTATTGAAAGAAGAATGATGCACCTGTTGTTCCCATCCTGTAAGTTCATTTTGTGCCTGTTTGGACATCATCAGTGCAACTCCTTGTGTATTTGGGGCATTTTCTTCTTCATAGTGGGAGTATGACAGAAGCTCTCCTGAAGTTAGTCGTTGTTGTCCAACTTGCGTCCAGTGTGTTTAACTGATCCCAAGCACCTCTAGGTTGTATCTCCTCGTTTCTGCAGCAATTTGGAAGGCTCTCCCGGTGTCCCACATTGTACGAACATTCCATGTACCTAAATAAATGGTCGCTCTGGTTGTCAGAAGGGGCATCGGCCTCGTAACTTCCGAAGGAATTCGGCTTTCATCGTGAGGCGTCATAGTTCTTCTAAATGAAGACCTTCTGACTCCCAGGGCAGAGTTTAAAAGGTTCGAATAAATTTTTCTGGTTAGCGTTTTTTTAGCGAGTTAGTTTTCTACGGGATGGGGACGCTAACCCCATGCCCAACCCTCCTCCTTTATCCTGGCTTAGGAACAGCAGTAGCCCCCGGAGGGACTCCAGGCGGAGTTAATCTAAACGTGCTTGTCTGTAATTCTACTATTCACCTTAAGGGTCCTTGAGAATTTTAAATGAAATCATTTAACAAGTAAAAGGAGTTAATTAGATCTTTTATTTTAAACAGATCGCACACTTAACATATTTTACCTTGCTTATGATCATGTACATGTTGGTGTTATTTGTTTCCGACCAGGCGAAATTTGAACATCTTTAACTTTTAGAGGAGCCTACATATCATACATTCATTTGCTAATACTTTGCTCCATCTAATTGGATTTAGTTATCCTTGCCCGATCTTCATGGATTATATGCCTATGATTATCTTAGGTTTTAATGCTGGAAATATATGTAATTTCAAGAAGCGTTCATATTTTATTGTTCGTTTATATCACGTAGCCCCGACGATTGGGCTTCAATCCTTGCCTCTAGTTTCAGGGAGAAGTAACTTTATTACGCTTTTCCGTTCATATTAAAGGTTTGTCAATATATGAACCTGGATTCCATTTCCTTTGGGTAAATCAATTTCCATTGTTTGAAAAAAATAACTTAGGTATGTGTTGTAAGCAAAAAAAGAGATGTATATTGTAGTGAATTGGTTTTATGCTAATTGTTGTGTTAATTCGTTCGAGAATACATTGAGTGCAATTAAGCTTCAATGAAGATTCTCGCCTGTAATCTCGAGTTTTCTTTCGAATTCGTTGTATTGTGAACATGGAAATATAATTCGTGAAATGTTCATTGTTAATAGTCGGACTATTCAATCACTAACCCTCTTGTCATTTTGAAGATAGGGCACTAGAAAATTAATATTGTGGTTATGAGATTCGAAAATTAATATGTTGTTTTAAAAACTTTCATTTAGCAATTGTAGCTCTCCTATATGTTGGTCGTGTTGTTGTGATTTATTAATATATCCACTTGGAGAGACTAATTTCTACCCATCTGTAATAATAAAAGTTAGGTGAAACCTTTGAACGAGTTCCAAGTGACCCTGAGGAATTTCAGCTAATCAGAAAGCAGTTGGCATAGAGTAGGAATTTATTATACAAATCCAAAAAAAGAAAGTGGATACACTTCTCTAACAGGTTTTAAAAACTTACCCAGATTAGAAAAAGGCCCTGTACCTCTGAAATCGTGATGCATACGGTACAGGAATTCATCTATGTGACTTCACAACAGTCAAACTCTGGATCCGTGATGACGTTTCAGAAATTCTTTTAACCTTGACCACATTGCTTCTATATTAGTGTGCACTTCTGTGGTAGGGTCAACAAAATATCTCATGAACGATAACACAATGCTCGTAACCAAGTCTAGATAGGTATCTGTATGCCCTCCAGTCGTCTGTGTATATTGTGGTACCTGGCTGCACATACTCTCGTATAATTGGTATCACCTTTGTAACCTGTCAGTTTCTGAGATTCTGAAAATATCCCTTTTGCGATGATTTATCATCTATACCAATTTGGTTATTTATTCTCTGAAGAAGTGACTTACACTAAGTCACGAAACGTCAGAAAATCCAATTTTTTACTCATTGGGATATTACAAATATATTATTTTTACTTATACCAAAGACCTGCCAAGTATATCTAAGGAACTGCTACTTACTCAGTCTTCTGTCACAGTTTCTCTATTAAGTCCGCGTTTCCGAAAGACCGTCTCATCGATTTTCCCGGTTCCTCCAGACGACTGATTCAACGTCGTCATCTTTACTGGACATATGTCGCTATAATACTCGTACCACTGAACTGCTGAATCTTCAGTAACATTTGAAAAGGTAGCAGCCAGTATTACTGGTGCTCATATTATCCAGTCCACAACAATTAGCACACTCTGTCCTGGTATCAATCAGGATTGATTCAAAAAGTCCTCGTTCTTTCAAACTTCTTTCAATATATTTTACATCGAAATACCATATCGTCCCGATAGTTTGCACACTGTCCAACAGTTATTTTAATGCCGCAATCATGAGTAATAGGTTCTTAGTAGTCCCATCTGTTGTAGCTGCTCAACTTTGACGTCATTCTTAAGATTCGCTGTAAACTGATTGTACGTGTTGAAATATAGATATCTGTGACCCTGAAATCACCTACTCGATTCTTATTGGCTCATCCATGAATTATAATCTTGCCGAAATTCGCCGCAGAAATTACACCGAATACTAAATTCCTTGATTTGAGTAGGTCGTTTATGAGTCCTTTAATTTACAATTTATTGTGGCCAGCCATGTCTTGTATGTTCGTAACTGTCCGGGACAAATTGCCTTATCATTGGGTAGCACTTTGACTCATTAATATCACCACTTTATTATCTGTTTTACTGAATGCTCTGCATAATTTTATGACAATTTATGCTCATTACTCTTTCATCGGATGTATTATGTTCCTTATTACTTATTTCCTTTAGGTCAATGGATATCAGTGCATCACCCATTCACTGCTGCGTCGCCAGAGACAGCACATTTCCTGTACACTGATCCGAGCAAAGTCATCGGTTTACATTACGATTTAGTTTGTAATGGTCAAGAAGTTGGAGGTGGTTCAATTCGGATACATAATCCTGAGGTACAAAGGTATATTTTTACCGAAATTCTCAAGGTAGATTTCTTATATACATGCATATAATCACTATTATTTAAGGAAAATTCTTGTGAAATGGAATACTTTTTAACTGCCCTAAATTCTGGAGCTCCACCGCATGGTGGGATTGCGTTAGGTAAGTGGATGTTATGTCATTACATAAATTTTCTCTAGGTCTTGATCGTTTAATTGCAATATTTGTAAATGCCAAATCAATCAGAGATGTAATTGCTTTCCCAAAAGCGGCTGATGGGAAAGATCTCTTATGTGGGACACCAACTATGGTAGATGATGAAATCTTATCACAGTATTGCATTTCTGTTTCTAATCTTAATAAAAGTTGATTTCTAAGCGACAATGTTTTGCCTTCCTAAGTGGTGGTTGCTTTAGTAACATCACAGTAGGTTGGGTTTTATTCTTGCTATGAAACTTTCACCATCATGGTATACTGATGTCTGAGTATCGTAAATATAATTAGATTATGTAAAAAACAGATAATAGATTATGTTTCATGCTTTTGTTATAATACTACGGTGCGACTTCAACAACAAGGATACTTAAGAATTATCAGAATTAAAAACTTTAATTAGCTTGCATCATTTTTGAAGATGGTACTCTCATTGCCTTCATACTACTATTGACCCCCATCTTAGCTGCGTCACACGCTAGTTGAAACTATATCAGTATTGCTCTGAATCCTGATAAATGCCCGTAGGTAGAGTCTCAAAATGTTATATTTTAGATTGGAAATACTGTAAGTGCAAGAACAGCAATGTCTAGGTTATAAAATGGGTTCGATCTATTTCATAGCTTCTCATTAGCTCTAAACAGACTAAAATTACAAGGAATAATATAATTATGAACATATTTAACATACTTTATTGAGTGATGTTTAGATGAATATTCCATATGGAATCGTGAATCATAAAGAGAAGAACAAGATACAGAACATATGATTAAATCTCTTTAAGATTGTTTCATATGTATGTGCTGAAAATGATACAAAATAAAAAGGGTAAAGTCACAATTACTAATAATTTAATTTGACAGCAAATGGTTACACAATTGTGATCAAAATAATGAGCGATTGTATACGTATGTATTATGACTGTATTCCAAACAGAAATCAAATATCTGAATAGAACAGCTGTGTTTATGTTATAAAACCCAGTAGACTTGGGCCACAAAATTATTTAATTGAAAGTAAAAAAAAGTCAGATAGTATCAAAAACCGCTGCAGGAATATGAATTAGAAAGCTTTTATCAATCTTGTACTCTAAAGAAATGACTAACTTGTAATAAAATCTATATTATCAGTATGGGGTTGTGAAGATTAGTACGTTTTTGGTTGAGATCATGAACCGATTGATGTTAGATCACCGTTGAAAACCTGGAAGCAATGGACGGCCGTTTCGCCCTGTTGTGAGACTCCTCAGAAGTTCGTGTCCACGATCGCTCTCGCGGGATTTGAACCCGGAGCGTCCGATCTCCCGCGCGAACGCTTAACCTCTAGAACACTGAGCCGGACGGCATCCAATGGTGTTAATGTCTAACCCTAACCACTCCACGAAATTTCGCGACCATTTCCCATTGTACTGAGGTAGATACCTGTCTCTACCTGGCACGGATTAGCTCCACTGATCACGGCTTCTCAATAGAACTCCGAGAATTCCCTCGCGAAACCAGTCACTCGTGAGCACATGGTAGTGGATACGCACTGCTGAGGAGTCCCACAATAAGACTAAACGGCCTTCTGAGTTTTCAATGGTGGGTCTAACATCAATCGGTTCATGGACCTAATCAGAAAATCTAGATTATTTGAGCTCTCGGCATGAACGTGGAGGATGACGAGGTTATTACTTTTGCTGTAGGCACTTCTAGTTACCTACAAATTCGCTCATCACTCTGTATCATTTTCTCGAACTACTGACCAATTTGTTTAACGGCCTAATATTACTGATTTACTAACAAAATATTTTAAGTAAATAACTGGTTTTAGAAAGCTGTCATGGTAGATGAAATTCTCTATGAAAATATCTACGATTCCCAAACTTACGGTAGATTGATTACAGAGCGGTGGCCAACCTCATGTTTATCAGTTTATAAGCGATGACCTAGTTATATAGTTGCATTGTGCCAACTAGACTAAGTTACTCTACATCTCTAAGTTGAAATTCATCATGATTTGCGTTCATATTTATTGAAATAAAAGGGGTAGGTCCGTGTAAGTCTATGCGCTACGTTCTCCATAGAAATCACTAAATCTCTGGTGATATTTCAAACTGTTATGCTGCTTTGTGTATCATTCAGCATCAGAATTCTTACACTGTTCGTAATAATCACTCCAAAAATACCACTTTCTTCAAAACCAATTATTCTTTGTGGTCCCCCAGCTTTTTATGATGTGTGGTAATAATTACACTGTTATCATGAATTTGGATCTGTTGGCAACATTGCTTGATTTACCCTTGAATATCTAGCTGAAATATTAGCAGCTGTATAATTTCTTTGTGGACATTTGATAACTTGTCTTCACGTTTTGAACGTGAAATTTCTAAACGTATTGATGAATTTATGTTGATGGAAATGTAATTGTATATCAATGGTCAGTATTCACATATTACCATTTCAAATCAGTCCATTAATAAGCGAAATTAGCCAATTAGTCAATTTTTGACTGCATGGTCAACAAAATTGGAGTCGTAGAATTGTTTATGCTTTAAAGTGTGTATTTTTTTGTGAATAACTTTTCATTGCTGAACTGTTTAAATGTCACGTCTACCATGTCTATCAGTAACTTATTGTCTTTAAGAAAGCACCAGCTTTCACAAGCCAATAATAAGTTTGTGAGAGAGAAATTCTAAAACATTCTGCTCTTCTGAAAGGATTGTGAAGATAGGCCTGACAACCTTATTTTGTAAATAGTTTTCAATGTTATTTGTATTTCTTTTGTCAACGTTTCACTGTATGTATATTTAACATTAAATGACTGTAACTGTTGATTTGGAAAAGGAGAGATGGTTGGCAGTCCCCTGCAAAATGTCGGACAGGGCATCTGATACCCACTCTCCTGAGTCATGAAACATTGTGGTGTTTGAATTGACTGATGATACTTTTGTACAAGTTGATGGCTTGATTTCGATTTCCAAATACAGTACATTCGTTTGTGCCTGTCATCTTAATTCAATTGCGTTATTTATTGCACTCTTAGTTAATGCTATAATTCAAATAATTCGAAACATTATAAACATCCACTATGTAAACTTCTGTGTGAGTCTGATTGTGCGCGTGTCTGCACATCAATCAATCTGTAATCTATTCTCCCATTGGTTGTAAGTTACAGGTAATCAATAATTTATGCATATTCGATTAACACTGACTAATATATATGTATATATATATAAGTGGATTTTTAACACTCATACTCAGTTGTTGGTGATTTCCCCTTGTGGCTTGTGGATTATTTTCAGCTGATGCTTAATAATAAACGATGTCTATAACTAGTGTTGTTCAGGCTTTTGAATAATCATCTCGAGTGAATTGATAATTCTATTGGAAGATTAAGCCTGCTTTAAATACTCAGTTAACGGGATGATATTATTATTATTATAATTATTATTCATTGGAATCAGATATAAATGAAATTAGCTTGAACAAAGTTGGTTGATGAGCAGTAGTCACATTTGGAACATGCACCATATTTGTCTACAGAGTGTGCATATTTAAAGCCAAAGTGACAGTTTTGTTATTCGGTCAGTCTCAAATATGTATTTTCTGTTGTTATTTGTTAATTCCTCATATTGTATATTTCAATGCTGAGCTTATTGTTATTGCTGTTGTTATCATTTCTTCGTATAATGTTAATTGATAATTCACTGAACCATTTATGTAAATGTATTGCATGGGTGCCATCTCTGTAGCTTAACCTGTATTTAATGCTGTAAAGTGTGAACTGTGGTTTGCACACTTAGAAAGTTGTTTTGCTTTTTGTTGTTGGGAAGAGAATTACAAGTGAGAGCAAGACATGTAGTTAGACAAAGTGGTTGCTACCGGACAACGTAATAGAATAAGTGCCTGAGGTTGTTTTCAAGTAGGATCTTGACTCACCATACGAGTTACACCATAACCACCAGTGTGAGCAGGGTTAGTGGAAAAAATAAGAGTGTAAATAACAGGTGTACTGTCCAGTGTTTCGATCTGTACTGCATTACTAGTGTAGGGTGTTTTCTTGGGCGGTAAACTATGTTTGCATTACAAGAATCTGGTCAAAATTATCGTGAAATCACTCACTACCAGCGCATGTTGGAACCAGTGAATTAGTTTCAAAGTTAAGTATACAATTCTACTAGGGTATCGGAACTTCATCTACTTGGTTGGTTGAAGTTTATGTTACCTATATTCTTATAATCGTGCACGAAGTCCCTGCTATACCAGAATTTAAGGTGTAAATAAGGTGAGACAGCGACTTAGCTTACTGAGTAGTTTTTTACGTTATCAGCGTGGATGATGTTCAAACACTATAGGTATTCAACCTGACAGAAATCACAACTTTTACAATGGAAGTTGTACTATTATCTCAGTTTGATAGAAAAGTCACTTATTACGTATAAAGTGTCATCATAAACTGGAAATCACTTCCTTTTTTCTTTTTCAGTTTATTATATTTTTCCGGCTAATCAAATATCACATGTGATTATCTGTTATCTGCGCCATAGAACCACCAGACCCACCCAGGTGTCTCTCCATTTCGCTTAGTTCAGCTAATTGAGCATTAAAGTCACGAGCCATTATTACTACATCACAGCGCCTAACGTTTTGGAGGAGGCCAGAAAGCTTTCTGCAAAACTCATCTTTTACATCATCTGAGCTGCAGTTAGTGGGAGAATAGGCAGAGATGGCGAAGAGGCAACAACGAGTGTCCCTATCTTTCCGAGTCCTTACTGTTCCGTTTAGTTGGACAGCGCACAGACGACTGTCTACTGTGATCCAGTCTAAGAGAGCTAGTTCTGCCCAAGGACTTAATGCTATACCTACAACAGCAAGACAATGTGGAGCAGCACAACGGCTTCTAGAAACTCAAAGTATGAATCCAGATGCTTCTTTATCTTGATATGGTGAGTTCAAATAAGGAAAACTACACAGATGCTCTATGAGCGTTTCGGTGACGAAGTATACAAAGACGGTGCGATATTCTAAGGTCATAGCTAAGGAAATCTGTTGTCGAATTTGGTCCAGTATTCGGGCGTTAAAAGCTACATCATGCAGTTTCGAGTGTAGCAACAAGTAATTTAGTTAGACAAAGTGATTGCTACCGGACAACGTAATAGAATAAGTGCCTGAGGTTGTTTT